ATTAAAATACCTAATAGAAACTCAAATTTAGCTGAATATACAAATTAATTTCCAACTTTTTAAGACCAACATGTTGAAATTTTTTAAAGCCTGCGGCACTTGCTCGAAACTATTTTTTCCTTTTGAACCATACTGGCAGAGGGAGGGGTGGGTGAGAGGGTGTATAGTCACCCAAACTTTTTGACACCATTTTAATAATACCCATTATTTTTTTATCCATTATATGATTATGAATGCAGATTAATAAAGATTAATCATCTAAACTTGAATATTGATTATGTATCATATTCCTCAACATTAGTTGTATTGATAAAAGTTATCAAAAGCCACCCCTACTTTGGTGGAAATGTATTTTTGTTGTGACAGTTTTTTTTATATTTTTAATCTGGCTCTGAATTCAGAAGACAAACATTTACATATATATAGACATTTATTCTTTAATGGACATTATAATCAATGATTGAGATTTACTTTCTAGAACTCAACTCAAATATTTATATATTTACAAAACTCTCAAAACTTATAGAATTTTCTCTAATCAATAAATTTACAGAAGCTCTCTAATGTTCTAGACAATGGCATAGCCTGCATGGACCTAGAGGCAGTTGCGCCCATGATGGCCTATTAATTTTTATTATATATTAGACATTTAATTTGTAAAAAATTATAAAATGGCCCCCTCAAATTGTTATTTTTCCCTAAAATCTTTTTAATCTCTCCTTCTTCTTTTTTTCTTTTTTTATTTTTTCCTTCCTACTCTTATTCTTTTTCAAAAAAAAAAAAAAAATCTTACATTTCCTTTCTTCAATAAAAACCTAATTTCTTCCCTTCAAACTTCTCTCATATATTTTTCTTCTTTATTTTCATTTTTTTCTTTTTAAAACTTTCCTTTTCCTTGCACTCATGTGCAAATTATATTCGATAACCTAATTTTATCTTTTTTTTATTTATTTTTTATTTACTTATTCTTTAAATTTCTTACTACTAAAATTTATACACTTAGGTCATGTTTGGCAATCGTTGTGTTTTGTACTTTTGTTGATAATTTAGTGAAAAGGATAAATAAGTCATAAAAACACATTAATGTAATGTTACAACACTAATATTTTTCGGCTTGTTGTGCACTATTGGGCGTTGTTTTGAATTATCATGCTAACCATGTCCATGCCCCCTTGAACCAAATTCTTGATCCGCCCCTGGTTCTAGAATCTTTTTCAACTTTCTCTACAATCCATATTATTCATGCAAAATGAAAGACAATATAACTCTAGCTCTACTCATGTCATGCAGACTCTTTGTACAATCGTATATAGACTATGTGGCATAATCTCCCTGCAAATAAGGCAAATTTTATGTAGCCGCAACTGATTAAAAAGTACAAATAGAATTAAAGTGTGCAACTAGAGAAAAGATTTCGAAATAGTCTGCCTTGAATATTTATAATCTTTAGCAACCAATCCAGCCTTGAGCCTTTCCATTGTCCCATCAAGTTGGTATAAGATGGTATACACGTGAATGGACAACTAAATCCTGTTTGGTTCTGGTTTTGTTTTTTGCATTTTGTTTTAATACGAAACAAAATAAGTATTTTGTTGTAGGGTGATTTGAATAGTAATCGGAAGCATGTTTGGTAACGTTTATTTGTTATAAGATTTTTTGAAAAAAAATATGAAAACATGTTTGATAAAAAAGTGTTATAAGTTTGAAAAATACAATGGTTAATTTAAAAATGTTATTTAAGGGTTTTTCAAAATAATTTAATTTAATTTTTATTGTCCATTGCTACATTACTGTTGTTATAATGCTCAAACATATAAAAATTCTAAATTAGTGTTTCGATTTTTTACAACTATTCACTAAACGTTCCAACAATATTATACAAAACAAAATATTTTTTACCAAATATATTTTTTTCACTGTTTACTATTACAAAACCCAACAAAAACAATAATAACAAAAATAACACACATAGCAAATAAAACCAAATTTATGCTTCTTGGAAGTAAGGGAGTGAAGTCTATATATACTAAATTTATGATATTGGATAATTATTAAAGTTTAAGTGCTCCAAGTGGAAGTTGGAAGTGTGGAACCATAACTCTTAAAAATAATATACGAAAGGTATTATAGAATGCTTGAAAAAAATATACCACGTATCTATTATGGACTTCACTACCACACACATTTAAACATCCAATTTAGAGATTACGCACGGCTCTATAGTTTATTTTAATTTTTTCTTCTTATTTCTTTACTTTGCATAGAAATTACTTCTTTTTTTTTTTTCTTTTTTTTTTTTTATCATATATAGAAATTACTTATTATTTATGTAGTCTAGTCTGCACATGTATTTCCACGAGTTACGCCATGGTAGATAGTAACTACAATCCAAACATTTCTTGCAAATTTATTTTTATCGTTTTTTATCAGAATGATCACGCTAAGAGTATGAGAAAGCCATCAATAAACTTTATATCCATTTTTCGTTTACAAGTTCTATAAAAACTAGGTTTTTCAAAAAAAAATTCAAAATATTTTCATGAATTTAGAAAAGAAAGCAAAAAAAAAAAAAAAAAAAAAACAATTCAAATTTTTTGTTTCTAGACTTCATGGTCGGATATAGATAAGAGTTTGTATTACGGTTTTTGAATTATTTATTTATTTATTTATTGTCAGTTTTTCAATTGCATAAGTAAGTAACCAATAGCCCCATAACTGTTACGTCATTTCCGCGTGAATTCAAGATGTGAATCCTCATTTGTGTTCATGTATTACAACTCAAACTTGGTTAAATTGCACAAATGAACAAAAGTATTGACTAATAATATTTTCATGAATTTGGAAAGAATTGGATTTCAGGCTCCTTTGTTTGAATATAAAATATATATATATATATATATATATATTTAATATTTGGTTGTCTTAAATATTATTTACAAGAAAAAAATATTAGAATTTAATAAAAATAATTTACATATCAATTTTTGATAAAGTTATTTTTCTTACCTCATCTAATTGACTCGTCTTTAACTTCAACCTAAACATTTATCGAACATCAAAAATATAAAATAAAATAAAATAAAAAAAAATACTTTATCTATAAAAGACATCAAAACAAACGGAGGCATCAAAGTGGAATTTTCAAATCTTTTTTTTGACCAATTCAAATTAAAATACTTAAGCAAAACTCAACTTTAACTAAAAATACACGTAACTTTTCAAAATTATAAGACCGCCATGTTGTCAGTCTTTAAGGCCACTACTACACTGGTGTGGTCCTCGAAGCTAGCTGCTTTGAAGCTTCATTCAAACAGCTCTTTTACTTTTGGACTATACTAGTGCACAAAACTACTTTAAATAATTATTTTTATTTTTTATTTACTTTTACAAAGCATTTCCTTCCTAACATATACATGATTTGTGATCGTAGTATAACGGATTTAAATAAATATAAGTATAAATTGATCGAATTGATCAATTTATGAAGATGTGTAATAATATCGAACCCTAAAAAAAAAAAAAAAAAATTATAAGCCAATGCAAACCATGACACCCACCCACATATGTATAATAAGAAAATGTTATAGGCAAAGTGTTGTTAATCTTGTGCCAACATTGTTGGAATTATTTAACCTTTTTTTTTTCATTATAATGTCAAAATATAATATAAAGACAGTAAATGTTACTACATAACGATTGTGACATTCATCATTTTCGGTGTATACGGTCTAATATATTGAAAAATAGTATCATTTTCTTTCGATGAAATAATTAACCAAAACATTAGATACTCTAATTAATATAAAAATTATTGAATTACCAAAGGTTAAAAATAAAAAAGAATACCATTAAGTTATACTTTTTTATTGTAATGACAAAAATTTCTTTCTGATTTTTTTTTTTTAAGACAATGATTCTTACATTTGGATAGTGCAAAAACTTAAGAAGGGTAAAATTAGAAGATTGACACTTTCAAAAATATTATAACTTAATGGTTTTTATCAAAACTTAAAAATTTTAGTACTTATTTTCACTTTGGTCAACCAACACCTAAAGAGGCTAAGACTTATTGATAATTTTTGTGTTTTAATATATGGAATTAAAATAAAACAAAGAATTGGAAGTAGACTTGTAAAGTCAATATGGACCAATCCCTAAAAAAACAACAACCAAATAATGTTAGCATTGCTACGCTTCTCTCTCTTCGCCTGACCAAAAGATCGCATTGTATACACTTTTACAAATGGTACACGGACCAACACGCTACCAGATCACGTGGACTCCACATTCCCTATCTTACCTGTTTTTAAACCATTAAACCTAAGCTAAGCCTCACTAGTGGCTAAATCATAAGGTCTATATCGTTTAATTTGGAATGTATTTTATAAAAATATTAAAATATTTAATAAATATCATAATTTTGTTGTCATTTAGAGTTTGAATTCGCAAAAAAATATAGTATCAAGAAATAATGTATTCAAAGATTAAATAATTGCTTCATATTTTGGTTTTTAACAATGTATTTCTTGTTTTAACACTTTTTTTTAATAACGATACACTACCAATTGTCACATATTGCATGCCTGATATGTATCATTAATTTAATCATCTAATATATAACATCACAATACATACCGCTAGGTCACATGTAGAACACTCATGCAACAACAATATAGATTACATTATTAAATTTGCATAGTTTTTATGTTATCGATTTATAAAAAGGTTTCTCTAATAAACCTGAACCCATCCAAATAATAGAAGTGAATCCTGATCCTAATTTAACTTATACTCAAGATTCTAGCTAACCATGGTTAAAATGCTTAACTACAGTTAACTGTCTAGTTATGACTACTCTGCTATGGTTTCAGAGCAGTACAAAGAGACTGTCCAAAAAACTCGCGATATTTTTCATATGCCATACAACGACACGAGATCAACATATTATGAATTTTATCCAGAATTAAATACTGAGTAATTAATTTTCCAAATTTAAGATTTAGGTTTTAGAGAGAGAAGAGATAGATAAGAACAAAAAAAAAAATCAGGTAGAGAGAGAAAGAGAGACCTGATCTTTAACTCTTGCTTTTGGATTGTTCCAATGGCAACAAAGATTTTGAGGTCTCTTTTCTCTTGAAAGGAAGACGGCGTCGTTCTGAGTTTTTGAGTCTCTGTACTTCCCTCCCTCTCCCTCTGTAGGCATATTGAATCTGATCCACCATGATTTTCTCTCTACTCTGATTTTCTCTCTCTTTACTCTGAAACTAAATAGAGGGGCGGTGACTATGGAGTTGTATATGACTATTATCAGCGTCATCATCGACCTTCAAGTGTTTTCTGAAGGTTTTTAGGTTAATTTGTGAGCTTTAATTGTCAGAATCTCATATTACTATTGTTTCAGATATTGCATTTCTTAGGTACTCTGTGAGGAAGAAAATTTGTTATATATATATATATATATATATATATATATATATATATAGAGGGAGAGAGAGATTTAAACTGGAATCTGAATAAACTGAAGTGTCTTATGCTGGCTTAGATTCGACCTTTGATTGATAGCAAAAAAGCGTTGGACGTGTGTGTGTGTGTGAGTGAAGACTAGAGGGAGAAGTGTAGTTTTGTTAGGGTTTTGTTGAAGAGAGAATCGAGGAAGCTATTGAAGATTTGTGTTTGTTTGACACATTCGCAGAATCTGGCCTTTGATTTAAGGAGGAACGAAGTCCATAGCAGAGCTTTTTGTCTCTCTGTGTTGAAGCTATGCTTTATATGGTCACTCTTGGCTCTGATCTGTGGCATAGATAGGTAATTATAGTATTTTCTCTCTCTTCATATATACGTTTGTGTGCGAGTGATATTTATTGTAGTGGCTATCTCTTTCTATTTCTTTGTTTGGAAGTGAATGTCTTACATGATTATATATGTGTTGCAGCTTTGATTCTTGACAGCATTTATTGAGAAAGAGAAACAAGCAATTAAGTAGAGATTTTTTGTTCATTCCTGTTGAAGAACACTGTTTGATTCTGTACCGACTGAAAATTGCAACAATTGGGTTCGAGAACAAGCAATGGAGGACAAAGAGAAGAGTTTGGACTCTCAACTATGGCACGCTTGTGCTGGAGGTATGGTTCAAATGCCTCCTGTGAATGCCAAGGTATTCTATTTTCCTCAGGGCCACGCCGAGCACGCCCTTGCCAGTGTTGATTTTGGGGCCTCACGGAGGGTTCCGTCCCTAATCCTTTGCAGGGTTGCTGCTGTGAAGTTCATGGCAGACCCTGAAACTGATGAAGTTTATGCCAAGATTAGGTTGGTTCCGATTGGAAACAACGAGCTTGATTATGGTGAAGATGGTGTTTTGGGGAGTAATGGGTCTGAAGCCCCTGAAAAACCTGCTTCTTTTGCGAAAACTTTGACTCAATCGGATGCCAACAACGGTGGGGGTTTCTCCGTTCCTCGATACTGTGCGGAGACTATATTTCCCCCCTTGGATTACTCAGCTGATCCCCCAGTTCAAACCTTAATCACGAAGGACGTTCATGGTGAGATTTGGAAGTTTAGGCATATCTACAGAGGGACACCTAGGAGGCATTTGTTGACCACAGGCTGGAGTAATTTTGTGAACCAGAAAAAGCTGGTTGCTGGGGATTCAATTGTGTTCTTCAGGGCAGAGAATGGGGATCTATTTATTGGAATACGGCGGGCCAAGAGGGGAATTGTTGGTGGCCCTGAATCCCCATCTGGATGGAACTCTTCTGCCGGAAATTGTGTTATGCCTTATGGGGGATTTTCAGTCTTCTTAAGGGGAGATGAGAATAAACTAATGAGAAATGGTAGTAGTGGGAATTTGAACTCTAGTGGTTCGAAAGGAAGGGGAAGAGTGAGACCAGAATCGGTTATCCAAGCTGTGTCCCTTGCTGCTGAAGGGCAGCCCTTTGAGGTTGTGTATTACCCTCGTGCAAGTACTCCGGAGTTTTGCATTAAGGCTTCGTCTGTTAGGACTGCAATGAGGATTCAGTGGTGCTATGGGATGAGGTTCAAAATGGCATTTGAAACCGAGGATTCTTCCCGGATCAGCTGGTTTATGGGAACTATAGCTTCTGTTCAGGTTGCTGACCCCATCCACTGGCCTAATTCCCCATGGCGGATTCTCCAGGTATCTTTGTATAAAGATAGAGCTCTATTTTCTCAAATTTTTTATTCTGAATTTTGGATTAACTTCTATTGATGTATATTTGTTTTAGCAATGTCATTTTGCTAATCATGTTACTTTGCACATTTAGCTTTCGGTCTTGTTTGTTGATATTGTTGAACTGCATGTAAATAACTCAGATGTTCGGTAATGGAAGTTTTAACCTTCATAAATGCTGCATCAGTGCATAAAAACTCATTACTTTGAAATCTCTTGATCTGTGAGTCATCTTTCATTAATATCTTATAGGTTTCCTAATTTGCTTTTGATGAGTTTAATTTAGCCTGCTGACTTCATATTTCCACCTCACTTCCTAGCAGCATATGCCATATGGTTGTATTTGTAATTGAATGCCAACTCACTCATAGCTGTTAGAATAAGCATGTAGTATTACATCCATAGATATCACATGCTAACATAGTTGAGCATTACTGATTATTATACCGGCATATATTCTTGGATCAATGATAGTGTACTTCTATTATAATACAAATATTCCAAACATTTTAATTAAACTACATGACATCTTGTACATCAGCTACTCAAATTTAGAAGTTTTTATTTCCTCCTTCCCGTGGCGACTGACAGAAACCACATGCTGCATTTTCCTTAATATTCCATCTGCAAGTTTTATTCTTTCCAAAAACTGACTTTGTCTGCAGTTTGACAATTTTGCACTAGAGGCTTACTCTTCATGTGAAGTAATCTATTGAACTATGGTTAGAATAGGAATACTAGCTGAAAAGTACATCTATTTACATGGATTTCTTATCTTTTAGTTCTGACACATCAAGATGCTTGAGATGTTACAAAATAAAGATGCCCTTATCGCTCGAGTACTTATAGGATTCCTGTGAACTGCATGGGTAAAATGCTTAGCGTAGGTGTTTATGCACAATTATGTAGCTAAATTACTCTTCAATGTTCTTCTAACTGGTCTCTCTAATTCTTACTATTGTTAATATGTTTGATTCCTTTACGTACGTAATTCTTGATTTTGCTAAGTACTTATTTTGGCCTTTTCTGTTCTTTAAACAATGATGTGAAGAAACCTTCTGTTCTAAACTTTTGTTTCCTTATTTTGTTCGCGGCGGTTATGATATGCCATTTAATGAGTCCCATCTTTGTCTTTATGTAGTCCAAGATCTGTTGTTGTAAGATGATTTTTGCATCTTTTGTCACTCAGTTTAGAAGTCTGCATGTGCTTATTTTCATAGTAAAGTTGATACCAAACTGTTTAAGAAAGATTTGGATAATCATGTCTATGCTCTTGGGATCTTGCTCTTGTTGTCCTCTTGTTCTTACATATTTGGAACCAATTGCAGGTGACATGGGATGAGCCGGATTTGCTGCAAAATGTAAAGTGTGTCAGCCCATGGCTGGTTGAATTGGTTTCAAACATGCCAGTCATTCATCTCTCACCCTTCTCACCGCCAAGAAAGAAGTTGCGGTTCCCGCAACACCCAGACTTTTCCTTTGACGGCCAATTTCCAATGCCGTCATTTTCAGGCAACCCCCTCGGTCCCAGCAGCCCCTTGTGTTGTCTCTCTGACAACATTGCTGCAGGCATACAGGGAGCCAGGCATGCTCATTTTGGACTACCCTTACCAGATATCCACCCTAGCAACAAACTGCAGCTGGGCCAATTCTCATCTAGTTTCCAGCGGCTTGATTTACATGCTAAAATCTCTGATGGCATCATCCCAGGCAACACAAATAGCAATGAGAATATATCTTGCTTGCTAACCATGGGGAACTCTGTTCATAACTTAGAGAAAACTGATAATTTAAAGACACCCCGGTTCATACTATTTGGTCAACCAATACTGACCGAGCAGCAGATATCCCATAGCTGTTCCAGTGATTCAGTCTCACAAGTTCTGACTCGGAAACGTTCAGTAGAAAGGATTCCAGAAAAGGAAGAAAGATCTGCACTTCACCGGCAAGATGTTCCAGAAAACCTGTTCAGTGCTGGATCTCCATGGCATCAAGGTTTCCACAGAACTGAACTTGGCCTGGATACCGGTCACTGCAAAGTGTTCATGGAGTCCGAGGATGTAGGCCGAACTATTGACCTGACAATTTTTGAGTCTTATGAAGAGCTATACATAAAGCTGGCAAACATGTTTGGGATAGTAGGATCAGAGATGCATTGCCATGTGCTCTACCAGGATGCAACAGGTGCTGTTAAACAAACTGGAGATGAACCATTCAGGTATGATTATTGTTCAATTTATTCTGATTCATATCGGTACTAATTCCATATCAAATTTGTAAATTTGCATATCACCGGATTCTGGGGTTTATGATTTATGAATCTCCCTCCCCTTTTTTGTTTTCATTGTAGTGATTTCATGAAAACAGCAAAAAGATTGACCATTCTACTGGATTCAGGCAGCAAAAATATTGGAAGGTAAATTATTAATACGGCTTATTAAGTTTACCTATCTTTCCTAATTATCTTCCATGCTTGCCTTTCACGATAACATGACATTTTAACCAGTTGCATGTAGAATTTGGATTTTGATATTAAAGACCTTTTTGTTCATTTTATGTCTTGGTTTCATTCAAATAACTCACAAAAATGGATGTTGAAAATCTTCTTTTGGCAGGAAATGGATTACAGGGTTTCAGAATTCTGAAAATGGACTAGATTCTTCGAACCAGACAGGCCCCTTGAGCATATTTGCATAATATGGTCATCATTTTAGAGTGGATTTAGGTAAAATATTAATGTTTTCTTTATGTAGTTGGGAGAAACAAGATATGAAACTCCATTTATTCTGAAGTATGTTTCCAACTTGAAGGGACCAAGTGTATGCTTTATTGAATGTGAGACATTTATTATTGATGCCTAACATGATTAGTAAATTTTTAAGTTTATAAAAAAGTGTATGTTACATATTCAAATTCCTTTGAAGTGAGAAGTTATTACATATTATTACATGGTTCGGGAGCACAGACCATTTGTGATCCCAGCGGCTAACATATTTAGTTGGGTGGCAGTGCGTTAAGAATTTCTCCTTACAAGTGCATAAAGATTTGATGTTTCAAAGTCCTCCAGAAGTCCCCATCTCCATCCATCAGTATTGATTGAGTAGTAGTGTTGTTAAGGCCTAATGCTTTTAAAGCTGTCCTGATTTGAATGTTTTTTATGGTCGCCTGAGTGACTGAAGGCATTAGTTGAATTGGCCTTTAGTGTTATGGGCATGCATGTTAATGCCCCACAATAAGGCAATTTCGTCTGTGTATTGCAGCATGCATTGTTCTGTCATTCCAATAAATGAGCCTTTAAAACCTCTACTGTACCGTAGTGAGGTTACTGCTGTCAATAGCTAGTAGTGCTTTTAATTATGTTTTTATGTGTACTGTAAATGATCAGTGGTGTGTACCACATAATATATAATGCACCCACAGGTTTGACTTTTTTTCAGGTGGTATTGTGAGAAGCATGTCTAGAGATTTCGAAAAATTACCAATGACTCACCAATCAGTAACACTTACACATTTATTTATTACTTGGGTGTTAAATGATAAATAACTTTGGTGTTAAATGATAAATGACTTCATCTGGGACCACGTAATAATATCGAATTTTGAAATCCAAAAGCATTTTTTATGGGATCAAAGATATCATTACTTGAACAAGTATCAGGTAGTGGCTCAAGGGTATGACTTGCATCTGGTTAGGTTTAATAAGTCTATGCGGGTTCTAGTCTATATTATAATGATTAGGGTAAATTACATTCACCTCCCCCTCTAGTTAGCTAAAAGTTCAAACAGCTCCCTTCAATTCTTAAGAATATCATTTACCTCCCCTAAAATGAATCAAATATACAATACATTTGACCTAATTATTTTAATATAATAATAAAACTATTTTTATACGACGATCATGCCCTTGGCACCACCCATTGCAACAAGTCCCTCAACCTCACCATCATCGCCAAATTCACCCTACGAGTCATGCAATCAGGGTGCTATCATCTTCTCCTCTTACACCTTAAAACATCAATTGTGCATGTTGCAGATCTCATAGACCCCAAGAAACAAAGTACATAAGGAAAAAAAAACAGAGTAACAATGACCTCGACTTCTTTTTAAACCAAAAATGTCATTTTCAAATTGCAGATGCAGCAGGATCGGTGGTCTACAAGGTGAAGGAAGGAAGAGCAAGGCGGCGGATACGGCATAGAGTATAAGAGATAAGACCAAGCAGACGTGTAATGAGACTACCCAGAAGATCAAAGAGACTGTTATAGATATGTTTGAGGAAGATAAGAAGTTCATTGATGATGTGGAATATGATGTGAAGAGGCTTGGTTTGGTCTTTGGACTAACATCACCTACCAAACCCTAATCTCTCTCGCTATTATCCTTTCTCTCTATTAACTTCTCTCTCATAGCTCGATCTCACACTCCACAGTTGTGATTGAAGAGGGATCCATTGGCATTACTATTTGTTTGATATTTCATGTACCTGGGTTTGCAATTTTGATACCATTTTTGAGGATTTCTTTATGAGAAGCAGTGTATACTATCAATTTACAAGGGTGCATACTGTAGATTTAGGGTTTGGGTTCAAACTATAGATTCAGGGCTTATTGTCACGGGCCTAGAGATTTGGCGCAGCGGCACGGCCCGTGCGGCACCAAGGCGTTGCTTCAGCTCGCGCAAGCGCCCTGGTCAGCCACCACGACCTGCCCTCCCAAGGATACATGCTGACTGGTTTCGGCCTGCCATGGCCTCGTCAGGGGAACGGCTCCAGCTCCCGACCAATTTGTGCAGGGATGGCCAACTCCCTTCTTCATAGTCAAGTCCACGACCAGCGACAAGCACCTCGAACTGAACCGAGTCGACCTGCCTGAACTCTGAAGAGGTACCATCCTGTGGTCCTGCACGCCCCTTCCCTGGAACCATTCCCAGTCAATGAATGTTCTTTGCCAACCAGCATGCGTGTCTTCCATCCTCCAAGCGTCTTAGGAATCACTTCGTGACATTCTCCCCCACCCAAATCCTGCGACGTCCTCGTCGCAGTGCGGCGCTTCACTACTGCGTCCACTCCCTTCCAAAGTCTGCCTCCATGCGGTATGCTCGCCTTCCCACCATCGCTTCCTTGTGCAGCTCCCTGCACTGCACTCGCCCAATGATAGGCCTCGGACCAAGGGGACGTCCACTCCTCAAGGACGTGACTCTTCTCCGTCATGCCGCCTCCGCGACATCCCGAGCAAGCAATGGCCTTCTGCCGACTTGATGCTCGCCCTTCACCATGGTTTGCATCACCCAAGGACTAAGCACGAACTTTGGTGCGCGCGGCCCTCCGGCCCTTCAATGCGCAACTTCAACGGACGCCTCTTCCTGGGGAGATGGAGGCTCTCCCCCCCCAACTGCATTGATTCCTCCTCATCGACGCAACTTCAATGCACCGTCTTCATTCTCTGACCCCTCCCGGACCGACAAGGGGGCACCCCACCGTGCTTTACCCCAAGTCCTGCTCTGATACCATTTGTCACGGGCCTAGAGATTTGGCGCAGCGGCACGGCCCGTGCGGCACCAAGGCGTTGCTTCAGCTCGCGCAAGCGCCCTGGTCAGCCACCACGACCTGCCCTCCCAAGGATACATGCTGACTGGTTTCGGCCTGCCATGGCCTCGTCAGGGGAACGGCTCCAGCTCCCGACCAATTTGTGCAGGGATGGCCAACTCCCTTCTTCATAGTCAAGTCCACGACCAGCGACAAGCACCTCGAACTGAACCGAGTCGACCTGCCTGAACTCTGAAGAGGTACCATCCTGTGGTCCTGCACGCCCCTTCCCTGGAACCATTCCCAGTCAATGAATGTTCTTTGCCAACCAGCATGCGTGTCTTCCATCCTCCAAGCGTCTTAGGAATCACTTCGTGACATTATTCTTGTTCATTGTAATAGTACTGTGAATAGAGCAATTTGGTGTAAGGGTGTTGGTGGATTTTTTGTAAATTACATTCTATAACACGACATAGATGAATTGGGGGCATTTTTTTTGTTGATCTCCATGGTCGAAGGGCATATAACAGCAATGAGTAAATCAATGTTTTAGTTTTTATTTAATTTTTAAAAGGCTAAATAGATCTTTTTGACAAAATCAGAGGGCAATATCGACTTTATGGGTTCTCAGCATCCTGACATCATCATTGACCAACTTTGACGAACATCATTGTAGGAAAGGTAAATGATATTTCTGAAAATTTAAGGGAGCTGTTTTAGCTTTTAACTAACTAGAGGAGAGATGAGTATAATTTACCCGAATAATTATTGTTGCGCATAAAGTTGATTGAGCTCGAAGTGATAAAATTAAAAATAATGATGTTAAAAAGAGATTTTAATACACTTATATTTTATTTTAATACTTTTGTTTAAGATTTTAACATATTGTTGAAATTTAGAATAAATTTATTAAAATCTAAAATAAATTTATTAAAATAAAATATAAATGAAATTTACAGCACCCTACCTACGATAAGAATAAGAATGTATTCCAGAAACCCAAAGAACACGTTGAAAGCAGGTGCACGTGAGGGGATGGGACACGTGCGGTCCCACTCCGTCGCCGTTTTGGTGAGCGAGCCTCTTGTACTTTTTAAAAGGAATTTTGACTCCCACCCACCAATTTTTAACTAGGAATAGGAGTGATTCGAGTGAATTATTCTCGCACCTTTGAAAATTGAGCACGCATTCTCATTTGTAATGGAGCTTTATAATAACCCCTTTAACAAGATAAATTATGCTTAAAAGAAAATGCTTAGAAGCCTTGTGACGTAATAGTTGTAAAAATCACTATAACATCAAATCACAGGATGTCTTGGGTCACTTTAACAAATTTAAATTATTTAGGTAACAAATTTTCATTGCATATTTGTGTAATTGATGTATTTGTGTTGCGTAACCAACCCAAATGACTCCGGTGTATGTAGGGGTGTTCCCAACATTGAGACTTGCTTTCCCACGATATGATAGATGAGAAATATAAAAGAATGAGAAATTGAAGTCAAATGGTCAAAGGATTGGTTTGGGCTTAGGAAAATGGAGCCCAATAAATTTGAGGGGTCGAAAAAAAACACCTTTCAAAGCATTGCTAAACGTTTCTTTCCTAATTTTCGACCAAGTACGACTATCATGGAAGTCCTTTCTCACGACAAAATATATAAACTCTCTTTATTTAAAGAATAGATTGAAATCAACGTACCAGTAACCTAACTGTATCAATCTCTGTCAGAGTTCAAATCTCAAAAAAAACAACAAGGATGTGTGAGTACCAAAAAAATAAATTAATTAGTTAATTAAAAAAAATTGAGATAATTTATTAAGATATGTGAAAAAATCAAATGAGCCTAGTTCAATAAGAATAACTCATCATGAAAGAACTCTCAGAATGACATTAGTGCAGGGCTTTCATGATAAAATTACTTTTTAAGATCTATGTCGTACCAAAACCGAGAATTCCGATCTGGGTCATGGCAAAAAAGAGAAGTGTGCGAGTTAGTACATACTTAATCTAATCGAGAAATATATGTGTGTGTGTGTGTTGTGCCACGAGACGTTCTTCGAGTGTTAATAGCAACATTCATTGTATTTTCTGAAAAAACGCAATACAATGGTTCATATGTTGTTACAAAGGATAAAAACAAGGTATGGTGACACCATTTCCATCGTGCTCTTTGGTGACCCAAATTTTAGTGGGAGATCTGCAAAAGATAAAGCCATTACACCTAAGCATCTTGAGAGGACTCCGTAAGAAAAAAAATTCAACTTCCAATAATTACTAGCAATTGATCATGGAATCATGAGATTTACAAACCATGAAAATGACATTGTACCTGCCTGGAAAAGGCTTACACACACACACACAGATTCACACTATATTTGGTTTCAAAAACCAATCAAGAGTATCCCATAACATGTGACACAAGATGCATTTCAATAATTTGAAACACTAACAAGGCCACTAAACCTGTCAGAAAATGGGTTGATACATCATCACAGACGTGTAGACATCGAAGAGTGTTGATAAAAATCAACCGAAAGTAGGAACATATCATAGTAATCTGAACGAACTGCTCCAATAACATTCTAATTGCGTGAAAAGGCGGCCCATCAATCTAAGCAAGTGCTTTAAGAATGCAAATGATACATATGTCAGCTTCAACATCAAGTAAGTTTTTTCAGATTTTTTATACTAATAGTCTTCAATGCAATCATGAAAGAGATTTACCAGCTATGTCATCATATATGGAATAAACATTAGGAACTCTACCTTAGGAACAACCTCAGTGTCATTTATTATTTAATCCCTGAATTCTATTTTTCAATTGTTCTTTGATTTATGCATTTTCTACCATATTATGTCACGATATCCGAAATAAGATTCAAGTGTCTCAAATTACAAGACAGGAACATGGACTTCTTGTTTTATATTAATAGCCTTCAAATTACAGTTTAAGGTTGCGAGGAGGAGAAGAAGAAGTAGTTTCCAATAAGTGGACTACAAATTGCAATAAAGGAACTTAAGCACCAACAATTTAGTCAGACAATCATAGATTGGCTTTTAATGTTTAACAAGGCAATGCTTGTTTTAATCAACTCGGAAAGTTTTTAAGTGCCAATTAACATTGTATTATACAACATATATTTATATCTATAAACTTCCTTCTTTTCAAATATAATTTTTTTGACAAGTTTTCAACCAACAAATATTTATATCTATAGGCTTCCCATCAGGTGGATTATAGTTGATACAACGTTTGAGGCCAGAAAGACTAGGGAGGACAAATCTTTTATGCATCAACCGACCATTATTAAGAGGAAATTAGCTGTGGATGAGATCCCGCATGTTAACAAGCACAAGGCTAAAACAAGATATAACAACATTGAGCCAACATGAAAAGAACGAATATGAAAGGCACTAGTTTGTCAAGGAAATAGTACTTATACATTTAAAAATCCAATTAAGTATTCAACTGTTCATTACTTATTAAAAAAGGAAAAAAAAAAAAAAAAGCATTCAACCGTTCATCAATTAACATATTAACATACTATAAGTGCAGACAATTATTAGATAAACTTGTTACTCGTAAGTGACGCAGAGTCCATCCCCCAAGCAGAAACCTAGAGCCCCAATTTCATGACTGCAAACCTGCAAAAAGAAATAAACAAGAATTGTCTGAGTATTGGAAAACAATAAATATTAAAAAACGAAAGAAAGAAAAAAAGAAAAAAAAGAAAAAAAAAAAAAAAAAAAGATAGAAAAAGAGAGATACAGTATATATACAGTAATGAGTGTTTTTTGTTTTTTTTTTTTCCCTAGTTGATATTCACACACAGCTCAAGGAATTGTTCTCTCCTCTTGGGTGCAAACAATTCCTTGAGAGGAGAGAAGGGGGTGGGGTTGGGAGTATCAACTAGGGAAAAAAAAGAACTTCCTTGCCAATGCATGGAAGAGAACAGAAATTTTAATAGCAAAAGACTGCTTCTGTACTTTCAATCTACAACAAGACCTTGAACCTTAGTCTTCGGTACAACATCCAAGAGTCTATACCAAGAAGACTCAGCAAAATTGCATCAAAAACTTGAATTAAGGTCTTCAAAAGAGCTTCAACACCACATTCATGTACTAACACCAAACCATGTCCCACAGCGAGAGAGAGGGAGAGAGAACAAATCTAAAACGAATTCTTAAGAACCATTTAAAATGAAAAAAAAAAAAAAAAAAAGAGGAATCCATCATTATTATAAATATATGTAAATATAAATACATAAAGTAGGGTTAGGATTCAAGTTAAACTTGGATTGCTCAATCTGGGATATGTTTTGGGTGGGTGACACATAACCACGAGCTTAACTCAAATTAAGTTTGTGTTGGGGTTTTTCAACCTTAGTTCAATTCGAATTTGTAATTGTACTTAGAAATGAGTAAATTACAAGGTTGCTGCATTCTCGTAAAGGGTTAAAGAATTAGAGTCTGGATTAAATGGCACAAAAGTAAAATCTGAAAACAAGGTGGAAGAAATGAAAATCCCCTTTCACATTCATCAATCCCAGTGCAACCTAAAGAATATTTAGGTCCACATTCACCATCCGAAAATGAATAAATATACCAAAAAGAAGGTAAAAGAATTGAAGATAAAAATAAAGGCAGCTAATATGTAAAGTTACAACAAGGACATCAATCCACAAACTATTATTCCATGCCAAAGATCCCAACCCCACCTTTTGGTTTGAATTAAGGTCTTCAAAAGAGCTTCAACACCGCATTCATGTACTAACATCAATAATCAAACCATGTCCCACAGCGAGAGAGAGAGAGAGAACAAAACTGAAACGAATTCTTAAGAACCATTTAACATGAAATAAAAAATAAAAAAAAGGAGGAATCCAGACTTAAAGCTCTACCCAGGCCTTGCTATCTATCTTTCCACCCACACATATATCAGCACCGCCTGTCACACCATATCAAACAGAAGTCCCATAATGATGAGTATCAAGTTGCTTTCAAGCCCAGGTGTCAAAGCTTTGTTAACCCCCCCCCAACCCCGGCCCCACCACCCCCCCCCCCCCCCCCCCCCCAAACCAAAAAAAAAAAACCCTATAAGCAAAACCAACACTGTAATGGTCGTAAACGTGAAAATCTGTTCTCCATTTTATGTCACTAAAACAGGAGGGAGGAATACCCACTTTCATTGGACGAAGGTAAAGGTGAGAAGGAAGAAACAAAAATAGCTTCTTGTCCAAACCCAAATGACACCCCCCCAACCCCCAACCACACACACAACAACAAAACACCCTATAAGCAAAACCAACACTGTAATGGTCGAAAACGTGAAAATCTGTTCTCCATTTTATGTCACTAAAACAGGATGGAGGAATACCCACTTTTATTGGACGAAGGTAAAGGTGAGAAGGAAGGAAGAAACAAAAATAGCTTCTTGTCCAAACCCAAATGACCTACATATCATCATATTCCCCCCTCTTTTTCAGGAAACAATTGTGCAAAAGAAATGGCCTCACAAGTCTTGATGCAATTAAGATTAAGGACTTCACTTTTAAACACAAATGGCGGAGAGGCCAAGTTCAAGAAAAAGAGGGATATGCATACGGATTTCTACAAGTTATATGCCTACATACTTTTAGAACATGCTAGTAAAAGTGTACATGTTATGCAACTTTTATAATAGACATCAAAAATGAATTCAAATTATCCAAAGACATCTTCCAACAAAGCATGATACTAAAAGTAGAACAATATGTGTACGTGTGTGCAGGCATGGAGCTGCCCCCCCGCGGTCCTCTGAAATTTTAAAAAATGTATTATATATTTATAAATTTTGTAAAATCTAGAAAGTGCCCCGACTTAAATTATGAAAAAATTCCAATATATAAATCTGTCCCCACTGTAATTTTTGGATATAACCTAATCAACTCTCTCCAGTTTTATATTTACTCTTTGTATATATAGATTTTAAAATTGCCCATTCAAATTTTTTATATTTTTATTGTATATATAGAATTTTATAAATTCTACAATTGTCCCCTACTTATAATTTTTAGCCTCAAATTTAATCTCTCTCTCTTTGATCATCGGACAATCTACATCTCCATCTTTAATCTCCTGTTTTAAGAAGGTTAAAAAAAAAAAAAAAACTGCCTACTTTCTCTTATTGTAAAACGCACAATTCTTTATTTATTTGATTTAATCTAATTATCAATTATTTTTTTTATTTGAAGAACCTAACTGAAAATAGTTCAAGTTTCCAATACAAAAACAAGTTCAATTCATTAATTTTTAAATTATTGCGAGTAAGGACTTTTTAGGTTTGTTGAGCCTTAAAGTTCTTAACTAGTTCGACTTATTAGAAAATTTTTAATAGCATAGACTATAAGAGGAAATGAGATATACACTAGAATACAAGAACACAATTGAATGTATTTTATTTTACATAATTGTGAATAAATAAATAAATGTACATAAAAAAAACTAAATATATGATTAATTATCATTAAAAATGTACACATAAAAAAAAGAATACGGATGTATATTTCGGAATGTGAAAAGCCTAGTAGAAATATCTGATTTATCATTCAAAAAAAAAATGTTTATAATAAATAGGAATGTAGATGGACCAACAGAATAATTAACTACTAAAAATTGTATATAAACTAATTATATATATTATATTCAATAAAAATTACATAAAAAATAATTTAATTTCTTTTTTGGATTCTTTGGGGCCTTAAACCCCGGTTCCCTTGTCTACGTGACACGTTCCCCTATCGAACGCCCTTTTTAATTTATTATTACTTATCAAAAAAAAAAAAAAATTACATAAAAAATAAGGGTAAATTACTTTAAGTCACGGACATATGTCAGTAAATGTCTATATCGAAAAGTACCAAAATACCCTCGTACTTATTATATTAATTTAATACTTATAGCTCATGTGACGGTCCTCTTTTCCACCACTACCGCCACAACCACCACCACTCTATACACACACACACACACACACACACACACACACGTATCTATATATCTATATATAAGGTTTCCCTCTGACCATGGATCCTCAACATAACCACTACCAATACCAACAATAGTGATGATGAATCAACCACAACAACAGAAGCCCCAATAACATGTAGTATTTGCTTTCACACCCAAATCACCTATGAAAGTATCGAGTCTATTGTTGTGAAACAAAGATTTAAGAGAGTGCCAGAACACCAATTAGCTAAGTCTCTCTCTTGTATGATTATTATTGTGGCTTTGTGATTTAGAGAGAATATGAGGGTGATCATTGGGTTTTGATCAATTAAATTTAGAGATTGCGAGGGTAGAGAATGGCAATGAAGAGAAGGCAAGAGTTTGTGGTGTGTGAAAGAGGGGAAGGGAGCGGGTTTTGTCGGGGGCCCAATTACTCACATTCCCATTGGCTTATACACTCCCTGAAACCTAATACAAACAAGCTCTTGCCAGTGATGGAGAACATGGACAGCACAATTAAATGGCCCAAACATACATGTATGATGTATATGTGTAGTGTGTGTGCGCGCGTGCGCGCACACAAAATTGCAGAGGGATTGGGAAAACAAAAATGGAATTGAGATGGAGAGGAGGGTTTGGTTGGAGATGGTAGTGGTGGAGAGAACCAGGAGAGGAGAAGGGATTGTGGCCGGCAGAGGAAGGCTGCAGAGGGGGGTGTGTACATATATGTGTGCGTGTGTAATAAGCGTATTTTTATTTTCTAATTATATACATTAAATGCAAGTAAAATGGGGTATTTGGTAGATTAAATGTAAATTCATATTTACTAAGTATATGTAACTTTTACTTATTTATATTTTTGTCCAATAAGTTTGTTTAAATTAGTCATTTCCTAAAGATAATAAGGTAGTTTAGGTCATTTTGCATCATATAAGGTCATTTTTAGAATTTAATATTTCATCCTTTGATTGACCTAACGGCAAGGGTAGTCAAAACTTAAATCCTGGGGTAATTTCACAAAATTACAGGGGATCTAAAAGTAATTTACCCAAAAAATAAATATTCCATTGACATTTATATAGTAGTATAAATTGTATGAGTTAGAATGCATTACCATCTTCGACATGGTATTGTGGCACAAGAAAACTCATGGAGATGTCTTTTGTGAAATTTCATAAACAATAGAGTTTGTGAACCTATAGTAAATTTATGAGCTATCCATAAGGGCAGGTGTTGTGAAGCAAACATGCAGGGCTTTTTCATGATAAAATGGCTACTTCAGATTATGGACGGAGAGACAAGTCCACTTGCTTCAAAAAATGAAGAGAAGTTCAAGCAACTATCTCGATATGGTAATTGGTTCAAGCAGCTACAAATTACAAAGCATAATACAATTATCTTATGGATTATGATGATTAACTATAGTTGCATTGTCTTGGTTTCTAATTTATTGTCATACCTAACCATTCTATTGGAATTTCTTTATTGAAAATGACACTTGTCACCATATTTGAATCTAGAACCACTGCTCAAATTACTTGTCACCATGTTTGATGTGGTAATTGGTTTCTACAAGTAATTTGAGCAGTAGTTCTAGATTTCATTCACATAAGCTTTTTCATTAACTGACTACAAGTTTATGGTAATCCAGGGCAGAATTATTATTATTATTTATTTTTTTTATTTTTTTGATAAGTAATATAGTAATTCATTGTCTAATTACAATTTTGTCATGTAAAAACTTAAAATGAAAAACATACACAATCGTCACCAAGATTACTAAACAATTTTAGATTTAAATAACAAATTTTAGATAATATTTATTGCAACCAAATAATCTTACTTATAACAAGTTCTTCTTTGAACAAATTTCTTCCTTACATTAATTACAAGGGACCACGGTCAAATGATAAAAGCTTGGACTGGCAAGCATGAGAATGCTTGTTCAAGTAAAAGCAATACTGCATTACTGCAGTTTGTCCAAATCCACCCCTCCTAACTACCAGCTTAGGGAGGTCCAACACAAGACATTGGAATTATAGGAAACTGATTTTATTCATTGCACCCATCCTAGAAGCCCTCACAATAGATTGTTTTACACAAACAAAAAATAATAGTGAGTGTTACTTGTCGACCTCTTCATATCATTAAGGATAGACTGCTTCAAATAAATCTCAATCTAAGCTTTTCTAATTCTTATTTTGTGTGCACACCCACCCCACTTGGGTGTTACATGTCGACCTCTTAATTTCATTCCATCTACAACTTTACTTGACTATCGAAAAACCTACAATTAGTGGAAATCCAAACTCAGCTCTCACGCTCGCTCAAAAAGTTTCACACACATCACAATTGGTACCACAAACCAATTATCAATTCATATCAATTTAAAGAAAACAACAACAAAACGCAAATATTTTCTATAAAATCCATGATCAAAGAAACTCCAATCCATCAAAAACAACTCGTAATTGACATCAAAAGATCAGAGCCAACATAAACAGATTGATTGATCGTCTAAAAGTTATTACTAAATTAAATTCAGCCGCCTCAGAATATCATATATAGATATGTACATATATACCTGTTTAATTTAATTGTAGTAGAGTTCGAGCCCCATGCCGTCGTGGATCTCGTAGTCCTTGAGGGTGATGTGGTCCTTGTAGATGTTGTACCACTTCTGGATCCTGAGCTTGTCAGCCCTAGTCCCTGTCTGAGCCGCCACCAGCTTCTTCAGATCGCCGATGGTGTCATCGTCGTTACACTTCACCCGAACCTTCTTCCCCAGCCTGTCGTTCAACACCACCTCTATCATCTTTCAAACCCTAACCCTAGCTTTTCACAGACTCGCGGAATTCAATTTGATTGAATTTGGAATTATTATTAGACCATCATGTATTATACGCCTCCAAAATTGACCGACCTCGCGCTTCCGGAATATCCGATTTACATTCAAGGAGGGTGTTTTTGTCCTGTGACGGCTTCAAATTTGACCCTTATTATTATTATTATTATTATCATTATTATTTTAAACTAAATTTGACCCTTATTAGATTTAACTTTTACGGAGTATTCTTCAAAACTACAAAAAATAATAATAATAATAAATAAATAATAATGATATAATAAAAATAAAGAAATAAATAACTTTAAAATTAAAATGCATGCATTTATGTAATTGAAAGGATAATATATATATATATATATATATATATATATATATATATATATATTTAAAGTAAGAGGCACTTAACACTAATAAAATAAGAGAGAGTCAGATTTATGAATTTTATTAATATCATGCTATATTTTAGATTAGTCAAATTTTACCATTCCCGATTTCGTTCTTCACAATAAGGGTTGGTATAATAATCTCATAAATGAGCACGAATTGTTCGTATTATACACAAGGTTGTAATAGCATATGATTCCAATATTTTTGAGAATACTCAAAATAAAAATAATTTTATACACTTTGAAACTAAGAGACAAAAATTTTTGTCAGGAACTTAATACGAAGGTTGAAAATTTATTAACTGAACTTTGATCATAGGCCATTTTAGCGGTTTAATCTACTAAAACTTCAAGATTGATTTCTTTATAATCTTTTATTAAACTCTCATAGATTCATTTTTTTCTTAGTTTGAATTTTTTAATTAAACTAGGCCATATGGTTTAAAATCGGAATGAATTTTTTTTAAACAATTCTTAGGTCTTCATTAGTCAGAATTTATCACAGACTCACCGCTAATATGAATCAATAATAAATGAATATATTCTATTTTAATTATCAAATTATAAATGATAATCAAATCACTATCGCTGATTTGGTAAGTGGATATCTACCTACCATATTAAATTTGATAATTAAAAATGACATGTCTATTTATTATTAATTCATAATTAGTGACATTATCTAAAACTTTAATAATGAGAACCTAAGTATTATTTTTTTTGTCAATTATTTTTGTTTCACACTTTTGTTGTCAACTAGACAAATAGAAACAAGTAATCGAAGTATATTTAGTAATATTTATTACATTTTGCACCATACTATATTTGAGAAAATGTCATAATTTAGAATAAAGTTGTTTTTCACTTATTTTGGTAATCTCCTTTTTGTACTCTCTGAGTATCTGCCTCTACTCCTTTTCTTTTTTTTTTTTGGTTGAAGTCTGGTCTCTACTCTTCATCACAAGATCGCGTGTTCTTTGAGACGATGACGAACTTGGTCGGAGGTTTTCCTCAACCAAATTTCTCAAATTCTTAGGGTTCATTGTTTCAGATGTGATTATCTTTTTTATCGAAATTTGACTATACAAATCCCTAATCGTATACAGATCATTGAACTGTACTGTGTAAACACATATATATCTATATATAAAATATTATATGTCTATGATAGAGCTGCAGATAGGATAGGCATAGATTTGTTGTGTTTGCGGTGGTGAAGAGATGAATGTGAGCCGCCCATCGGTACACCCAGTGGAAGCGCCACCGGCTACGACGGAGGGCGGGAATGCTCCGAGAGTAAGGATGAAGGACATCCAAGGCATGCCGGGTACGATCGGTGGCCTTATATTGCGTTTTTGTCAGTTTGTATTCGCAGCTTTGGCTCTCTGTATCATGGCCACCACTAGCGACTTTCCATCTGTCACTGCCTTCTGGTAATCAATCACTTCTTTAACTCTAATTATTATTTATTTAATTTTTTTTGTACTGGTTTATGTTCTCCGTTCTCTCTAATTTTACTACCTAACCACGACTTTAATTTTGATCTGATATGATTATTTTGGATCCATTTCTCTTGGATATGGGGTTGGTAGGTCTGATCCTTCTGGTTTGTTTGTTTGGTAATTTTTTTTTTTTTTTTTGGATAGACAAGCTTGATATTGAATCAAAACACAAAGATAAACTTACCTTGAAATGAAATTGGGCTTAATTATGATCAAATTTAATGTGACTGTTGTCTGTTAGGTTTGTACTAGGTTGATGATCAAGATCTTATTAAAATTTGTCCTAGTAGCATTCATAGTTTTTTTTCCCCCTCTTTTTTAATGTAGAAAGGCTAAATATATTAGAAGAAACAGGTGCATAATGTATAATAGATAGAGAGAGAAACAGTAAACATGCATCAACAAAAGAAGGCAAACAAGAATCAGATTTATAAGACAGTTTCAAGAAATCAATATAGTACAGTGACCCATGAAACTCCATTTCATTTTATTTCCTATAGATGATCGGTGTGGAATAGCAATTGCATTCAACTAAATCCTGGTCTAATTTGTGACAACGGTTTTGTATTTGTGCTAAGAATATGTATCTCTCATTACATTTTTTGTTTGAACCAAATTCTTTAATTTGTCCTGCAATTTCAAAGATCGTGCTGTCACATTTTCTTTACCTATTGCTTCTTGTGAGCATCAAAGTTAAAGTATGGAACTAGGTGACTGAATTTTAAATAGAACTCATATAAATGAGTTTTTCTTCTATTCACAATGACAAATGAGAACCTTCAAGCGTGGAGTACTTGATAATTATCAGATATTGGTTCAATTTTTTATTTAGATGGAAAAGGTCTATTGTTATCTACTTTGTTAATGATTTCTGAGTCTTTTATTTTATTTTGTGACTGAATATAGGTATTCTTGAGAAAGTGAAGTAATTTTTTCTTTTTTAGTTTATTTTTTGTTAGTGTTAGTCCTGCAACTGATGCTTTTGTAATATTACAATGCTAGCTATCTCGTTGCTGCTGCTGGCTTGCAGAGTTTGTGGAGCCTTTCGCTAGCGATTGTTGATATTTATGCCATTCTAGTGGGTCGATGCCTGCAGAATTATCAAGTTGTCAGTTTATTTTCTGTTGGTGATGGGGTAAGATAGTTACTGCAATCTAGTGATAGAAAAACTGCATGATTTTCAAACATGTAGACATTAGTCTTGGTTTGGTCATTTTCACTGATTCTGGGTGAATCTCAGAAATCAGATACCTGCAGTGCTGTTTGTTTCATTATTATGCTTTCTGAAAAGTTTCCTCTAAGAATGGTCAACTTTAATATGTGGAAATTACTGATACAATAAGAATTTTGCATCCAACCTCCGGTGGCATGTTGGATCAACAGCGCGAAATAATTAGTGATGAATCAACTTTATTTAATTTGTTTTAGGGTAAATTACTTTTACAACTCCTAACATATTTGATGGTTGCATGGTCATTTTTCATGTTTAGGAAAATACACCAATTTTCTGCCTGAGTTGTTGGAAGATGTAATATTAGAGTATGTATTAGTACCCTCATTCCTTAAAATGTTTTCCCAATGGAAAAATGCCTTTTATTTTCAAGGTCAGTGCATATTTAAAATGAAATAACTCTCTCTCTCTCTCTGTGCCTGTTACAATTATGTAACAAGTTTTGCGATATTCTAGCAACAAAAGTATCGATTAGCATTAGGAAACATGTTTGATTTACTTCACTGATGTTGCTCGATTTAAGTTGTGATTGAAGATTGATTCGAGATGGCTTCATCAACATGCATTTGTGTGTTTTTTGTTTGTGTGGACATGAAACTGAGCATAGTTTGTACTGACTGTGAAGTGAATAAAGTAACTGAACTGGAGAAAATGGTAAAAGACCATGGATGTTAGTTATGATCTTTCTTTTCTAACAACCCCCCCACCCCCCCCACCCCCCCAAAAAAAAAACAAAAACAAAAAAAAAAAAACATCTATCTATAGTTCCTACATACATTTGACCTTCCCCAGACCCCTCAATGGTGGGAGCCTCGTGCACTGGGCTAAGACATTTTTCTCTCCAAAACCTCTATTCTCTAATTTCTTAAACGTCCTCTTTTTAAAAATTCATATTTTCCTGAGAGCAACACAACAAATTTGATGCGTGTGAACAGTGCTTTTCATGCAAAAGAAAACTGGAAAACAGATATAATTACCACTTAATAAATAATACCAATTGCGAACAGTGTAAATAAATAAATAAATAACACAAAGAAGAAGTCCAGAGAATAAATTATCGGTAACCACCAAGCTAATTGTCTAGAAGGATGAAAGCATGGGAAAATGCAAAGATGATGGAAATGCTGAAAGACAGCTAAAAAATATTCAAAGCAGAGCAAATGGCTCCTGTTGTATTAGTCTGGAGGAGAGTTTGAAATGTTTTAAAGTTTATGCTATTCTTAAGATGTTCACTAATAGTTATTTGGTCTTGAGAGAGTGTGGGAGAAAAGAGATGTAGATGGAGAGCACACATATATATATATGTAAGTAATATAGAGAGGGCACTGCAGTATTGACCAAGTTCAAAACTCTATATGGTGCTAGAACCTTGTTATGAAAGCTGATGTTAGCTCTGTACTGTTGCAAACCTAATTTGGGTCCAATGACTTGGATCTAGTAGAAAACATCTGCTAACCTTTTGGGTTACCTTCGCTGATTACTCAAAGCAGGTTGGAGTCGAGTTTAAGTTGACTTGGAGAAGTTTAGAATTTTTTGGTAATTTCTGTGTTGTATCCCTAATTACTGATAACTTAAAAATTAGTTTCACCATCCCAGATTAGTGATTACTGTCAGTTTTACTTTTCGTTAACACAATTGTCTAACTTGACCATAATCTTTAGTGTATTTTCTCCTGTTATTTTACTTGATGGAGTTTTTAAACACTTTATCCATTTTCTAGTTTTGAAGCACACAAACGAAAACCAGTCCCAGTTGCAAAGTATATAAACACAAGGAATAAACTTCTTATATTAATGTGGAATCATTCCCAGTGGTTCGTGCAGGGTTTGAAGCTTAAAAAATAATTTGATTGGGAAACCTCCCCATCATATTCACTTCTGTCAAAAAGTTTAAAACTGATTAAATATTTGTATTTTCATACTAGTTAGTAATTGAACTGATTATGTGATTTGGATATACCCAGCATGCTTTCTGAAATTTTTTAAGTCTGAGATTGAGAAATTAATCACTGAGAACTAAATTATCCCCATAACAGCCCCGTCTTTCCTTTATTTCTTTCTCTCTTTTTTTCTTCTTCTTCCTTTTTTTTTACTATATATAGCAAAAATATGTAGCCAGTGACTCGCGAGCCGGTTGTATTGTAGTCTATTTTTCTTTCCTAGTTGCATAGCTTATTAAATCTTTTTTTCACTGCAGATCACATCCACTCTTATATTTGCTGCAGCTTGTGCATCTGCGGGTATTACAGTCCTTATTGGTAATGATCTTGGTTTCTGTTCAGAGAATCACTGCACGGAATTTGAGACTGCTACTGCCATGGCTTTCCTTAGTTGGTTCACTGCATTACCATCTTTTCTCTTGAACTTTTGGTCGCTGGCATCCCGATGATTAGCGAAAATAATAATATAAGGAATATAAAATCAATGCCAGAGTGCCATTTTAAGTGTGTGCCTTTCTTGTTGTAGTGTCTGTTTTGTCGTGCAGCGGAAATCATAAACTGTATGGTGTAGTTCTGTTGTGTGTATATGGTATGTATATCAGACTCAAAAACATTTTTAACACATGCAAGGTTGTGAATTTGAGTGGGACCAATATACTTCCATTTTTTAGATCATCTTGATCTAATCATCTGGAGTTTGTATCATGGTGTTTGATGTTCAAAGAAACTGTATTTCTACATTTTGTATGATATGAGATTTTACTTTTAATCTGTTCATTTTACCTGTCTTTACTCTCTGTGCAAGTGTGTTTGCAGAGTTTTTTTTTTTTTTTTTTTATTTCGAAGCTCAGCCTTGTCAATATGTATATAAAGTTTCGACACATTGGTAGTGGTTTCATTCTGAACCATCACAGAATTCAAACTGGGAAGCTCTCCTGCCTAACAAACTCATTCTTTAATCTTCACTGCTTTCTTGGTTCAACTTTGATACTTTATAACTTCAATAATTTGAGGGTGAGCCTTGACACAATGATAGAGCCTTGACACAATGATAAAGTTGCTTTGTAGTGATTTGAAGGTGACGAGTTCAAAACAAGAAACTAATCTCTTCGAATGTGAAGGTAAGGCTGTGTACATCTAACACTCTCTAGACACCACACTAACGGAAGCCTCGCTCACAAGTTTTATTTTTACTTTTATTTTTTAAGCCAGCAGGATAGGACGTGTGCGTTGGAGGAATATTCTTCTTTATCTCTTCCAAATTGTTGGAAATGTTTCACTGTGTATACTTTGTGTTCTATCATTTTCATTGACAATTTCAGCAAAGGGCTACTCACTATCAATATCATGACTTTCACCTTTTCCTAAGATTCCATCTCTGAATTTGAATCTTTGTGTTAATTGGAGAATCATCAATATCAGTAATTAAATTTAATTTGGGTGTGACCAATAAATATTTACGTACCATTCATCAAGGGAGTATCACATAGTCGGTAACCTGGGGACAGTAAAGCTCCAATAGAACAAAAACTTTGAACTCCATTCAATTTTAGTTTAAACAATACATAAATTCAAATCAATTCTGTTCCCTCTCCGCTATTTGGAATCACCAACTCTGTAATGTCATTTATTTTCCACAAGTCATTGGTTACCTGACTCATCCCTGTTGGGATGGGTTTTGTTTATTCTAATCAACAGAATTTCAAGGGGAAAAAACCCATCCCACCCTCCAGATTATTTAAAGAACAATATTTACTATTATTTCAATATCAGATTTTTTCTTTCTTTCTTTTTTTTTTTTTTTTTTTTTAAACTTGAGATCTTCAAGAGTTCATGCATTGAATTGTCTACAACAATTGTGCATGCTTGTTTTTTTTTATTTTTTTTTTTCTCCCCTAGAAAAGTATCCTGAGCAAACTTCAAATTTGTGCTTGTCCTGACAAATGACTTTATATTTATTTATTTATTAGAACGCACAGCAAATTCTAATTGATAAATAGGAGAAAAAAACTGCATCACCAAAATTTACATTGATCAACCAAAACCTGAGAGCATTCAACAAATTTTAATTAAATTAATGTACTTCAAACCTAAGGCTGAGATTTAAATCCTCATTGCAACCTCTTTTTTTCTTTTCTTTTATTTTATTTTTTTTTCTTTTTTTCTTTTTTTATCCTTCTACAGGGGAAAGAAGGGTTTTGGATGAATAAATAATAGTGTTCACACAAAAGACCAGTTAGTGAAAGAGAAGGCAATGCAATGGACAGTGTTCTCTTCTGCAGCAAGGACTTTCCATGCAATGGCTTCTTCATATGAAACATGGCGCCCCATTGTTGACATGCATATTCCGGCCGGCAAGTAAGCAAACCCCTGACAACAAAATAAATTGAAGATTGCTTAGGGAAAAAGTTAAAAACAAAATAAATTGAAGATTTAACTATCAACAATTGTGCAATACAAATAGGAAAGCTGTTTTATTCTCCTCCATCCATTATTGCCCGAAAATTATATTGGATGGATTAACTACAATTCATTGCATTCCCAATGAAACAATGTTCGTAACCACTACAAATAGTAAGGATTTAGATCCAATACATGAGGGAGTTTCATTCATTTGTTTGAGTGCATGGAAATATTAGCCATGTTTGGAGGTTTTATCACATACTCCCAATTAAACAAAGTTATTTAAATTGAATGGTTTATGAAGATTGTTTTGGAAAAAGACAATCTAAAGACACTTTAGGCTCTAAATTCCGATCATGCAAACACAATGTAGTTTTATGGGGTGGAAAGATCGAGTGTAATGCTAAACCTTATCTTAGCGAAGACCTCTACTACATATATGATCGTCAGTGAGGAAATGCAGACAACCAATATGATGGCACAAGAATTATTATTCCAATGTAAAAAAAAGTGTACCTGCTGTGATATCTTTGCAAATTCTGAAAACAATGCCTTGCGTCCGGACTCGTCAAATATCTTATCCAATGTGATGTCTTGTAAAGCCACTAGAGTAGTCTCCAGCATGTCAAGCCCTGCCTGGTTTGCAAATATGAAAACTGGCAGCGACTGTAACAAAGACACCAGTTATCACATAACTCTGATTAATCACACAGACCATATCATCTATTTATTAACTCAAATAGTCTTATCAAACTGAAACCCAAAATAAATACAAGTTGCAGGCTGCTTCTGTTTCAGCCCAAAACTACATTTTGCTAAATTTTCTGATTGATGCGTGCATTGATTGGAAACCTTGTTTTCAGATGTTCAACTTCTAGACTAATCTTGGGTCATCAATTAGAATATATAATGCAATTATTTTAAATTTTGTGTGTAACAAAATTTAATGCTTATGATTGAAGACACAAAGTGTAACTCCGGAAGACAATCTACTCCCAGTGTAACTCCCCTAGCTACCAGAACATGAAGCAATTATTTTTAACTAGAAAGCACGTTTGTCACACACATCTAGCTCCTATGGTTTCAATGCTAGTTCATTGATGTTCCCTTATTAGTTGCTGAGAAAATTAAGGGGAAAGGGGGGGAATAATGAAAGATGCATAAACAATATGATTTTCAATTGTACATATCAATATGACTCAATTTAAGTTACTGCCTATGAAGCAAAGACATGGGTATCAATACAACAAGGACACAACAATATTTTATATTAACGTACATATGTATAAAGATTAATATTATACATAGATAATTTTAAATAATAATTGTTTATGTTATGCATATTTTTTGTATGTTATATGTATTGTTACTAACATTTCTTTATAAAAAAATTATGACACGCAATAAGATTTGAGAGTTATATTGCATGAATAAGTTTCAGAGTAAATTAATCATGATATATATCTCAATACTTCTTTTTCGAAGAAAATTCAAAACTTTCCTTAACAATTATACTACAATATCATACTTGAAAATGTTCAAAAATTTTCAACTGCGGGTCTTGAGATATATGAGAAGTATCGGATATGTAATTGAAGTAAGATACATATCAAAAGTTAAAATAGATGTATCAAAATTAAAACTAAAATTTTGGATATGATTATGAAGTATCACAAACATATCCACAAGTATAACGAAGTGTTGGTATCTGACATAGACACGATACAAGTACTTCTCTTTTTAGAAATCCGTGTTTCATAGATTACAGCACACAAGAAGGATAGACTAAGAGATACCTTCAATGAACAGCACAATATGGCATCCTGATGATGCCACAGATTTTTCAACACCGAGTCACCACCAGCAGAATCAGATCCAAGCAATTCTACCCCTAAATGGTAACTGCAACGAGAAAAAGAAATAAAATAATATAAAAAAGGGAAAAGGGAACCATTGCAAGCAAAGTGATGAGAACAATGTTCTATAAATAAAAAAAAATTACATTATAGTATAACAGCTCTAATGAGAAAAGTACAATAATAGCAATGACGTCTATCATACTAAATTTAGCTTTTTCTAAGCTTGTGTAGATGAGGCAGGACTTAACCCATGATCAACTGTTGTGTAGGGATCAATTCACACCCCACACTATCAAAGATAATCATGGTGGCTTGCAACTTAATAAACACGAATTATGAGAAATATAACTTACCTATAACTCTGGTTGATCCACTGAGCTAGAGTAAGAGCTTCTGGAGAACCTGGAGAAAGCTTTGGCCCCACAGTAGGATTCGATCCTGATGGAGATATAGCCATGGCAACCCTTTGTACAGAGGAAATCACACTGCGAACATACTGGCGAGCCATAGTAGCGACATTATCCTGTAGATTGTTCTCAAAAGGAAATTGGAAGGCAATAGTCAAGACCGATCGTGTGTTATAAGAAGAGGACGCATCACCAGAAGCATGATTTGTTGCTGGGCCAACTTCAAGACTTGAAGTCAGATCCAGGGTCCGGTGTGTAGTCAACTTATCCTGCATATCGCTCTGAAAGTGGAAATCATTAGCATCGCAGGGAGAATAGGATTACTCAATCAATTTCTTACAGAATACACATTCCATTCACAACCATAATATTTATTTCAACAGTGCTCCAACAGATCTGAGGCTCGAGAAGAATCAAGAATCAAAACAAACGGGAACTTCAATTTTTTATTCTAGTAATTTGTAAATTCGACAATTATTGAGAAAGATTCCAAGAAATCCTTTATACTACTCCTGATATTCATGTTTCATCGAGTCCATTCCTGCTGGTGGTGATCAGAGGATGAGTGTGGAGGCCACAGATGTTGCCTGGAGGCAGAGGAGCAGCAAACCAAGAAAGTCCAGAGAGGGTGAGACTGTGATGTTGAGGTGGGGGTACGAGAAGAGACGGCTCAACAAAGGACTGGAAATGGTGTTGATTTGCAGGTTTCGTGAGACATGACTCAAAAAAATTGTGACATGTATTATACACATACTTTAGGTTCCATCAGTTGTGCCCGAAACAAATTCAAGCTTGGAATTTCTGCTAGAATATGAGCCTGAGATCTAAAATACACTGTCAAAGCCCGCGGAATTTTCAGGAGGGCTTGAAATAGTGCCAGCAGTTCAGACACAAAGTTGAGTCAAACGGAACATCGAGCATTCAAATTACAGCCAGCACCATACAATTACTTTAGAGAAAAAATATATATAATGAAAATTGATAGCATAACAAATATGGTTTAGGTGGAGAATCCTTAACTGATTTTGAATCCAATGGGATGATGCGAAAACCAGAGGGTAGCAGCGGAGCATCATCTGGAAACATTTCATCGATTGGAGCAAAAACAAGTTCAGAGCAGGCTCCAACAGCATTCTCATCAACTCCACTGCAAATCTGCAATAAAAAAACAATTCTAAAGTGAGTATTTTAGATTAACTGTTACCACTAATTATTCGTTTTGCATTCATTCTTCAAATTCATAGTGTATACGATTCATAGAGATCCACCTGGAGGAGATGAATGTCTCTTGATACAAAAGCATCTTCTTCAGCAAGAGAATGGCCTTCAAGCCGAATTACTTCAATCATCTGAAATGTAAGGAAAAAGGTGATAAAGAGAGATGCTACATGCTATATAGTTTATAAAGCGCATGTAAAAAGTCAAATGCATTTTCTAGAATTTTTTTACCAAAAAATTAATAATTTTCACAGTAAAAAAAAAAAAAAAAATTATTTTCACAGTAGTGATGTTCCGTCTTAACAAATAGAATGAATGGATAATAGTTCGAATCTCTTGCACATGACAATTTGTAGTGTGCCAAGGAGGATAGGAAGATGAGGAGAATGCTAGTTCCAAAAGCATACCTCTTCATGTTCAATTGTGTGGCCTAGTGGCATGATGATTTGGCTTCCAGTGAACCTTGTGGGCCTCATCCCTGGATATGCATATGTGTTTGCTTTCAATGATGCAGCAGAATATGCATCTACACTGAAGTCAGCCCATTCTGACCGGTGCTCCCTTAGAAAGCGAACCAGCACCGCAGGAGGTACATTCTAGCAGGGGGGAAAAAAAAAAAAAAGCACACACGCAATCCCAATTAGTTTTACATCCAAAATCCACACAGTATTACTCTGAACCTAAATAAGATCATGACGGGATTTTTAACACGGGTTTGACATTTAGCAGTCTATTAAAAACTAAACTTTAACCTGGACAAACTTGTGAACATAAGAAGTGAATCAACTTGAACTTAGCCTGAAAGCTACAATCTTAAAATTACCAATGCATATACATAAATATGTGTGTGTAGCTCAGAGCAGGATTTCACTCATTTCATAAACAATCAGTTAATATTAACTTAATGATTGCAAACCATAATAAGCATCCTCTCCAGGAGCTAATCCATCACCATAAATAGAGGAACGTGATAAATTTCAGAGAACCAATGTATTTCCTCAGTCAGGAGTTTGCTAAAAATGCATTGAATTGTTATCACAAGCAATGGCATGTAGTTGGCCAATGAAGGATACAGAAATGCGTTATCAGCCGAAATGGTAAAATGGCAATTCATTTATTAATAAGTTCCATAACTCACTTGGAGTAGCATGGATGCTTTTGCACAGAGAATGCCTCCAAGTAAGGAAAACGAATTTGAAGGATTAGAAGTGGCCCCGAGATTCTTGGTTGAATTAACTGAAACTATAACATCTTCAGCACCATCGGAGTTCATCAAGGACCACCCGTCGTCTTGAAATCCATTGATAGCATCATTAAAGCTTCTGCGGGATAAAACAATATATACGAATGAATATACAGATAAAGATGAGTTATCATAACAAAAAAGCAGATACATGCATGCTATATATAGCATCATTGGCTACATGCACCCATCTTCCTAAAGGATAAAAGGAAACGAGGAAAATATGTAACATATAGCTACCTGCTTAATCTTTGGCTAAAAGTTCGCAGAAGAGCTGGTTGCCTGCCGAGACCATATACCACCTCACCACTTGTCTCCTGAGCTATTTGCCTGATATAGCGGAGTGCCTTCACAGGAAAAGCTCAATTAATTCCATTTATCCTTCCCTTTCTGTTGTATGTATGTTTTGGTTCGTGTGTGTGTGTGTGCCGGGGGGTTAAAAAAAAGAGCCTGGGGGTTGAATCCAAAATCACTTGGAAGATAAGGCCATGCTCAGTATTATACCAAAAATTTGAAACCAATAAACTGAATATCATTGTCAGTAATTCGGTAAATAGAAAGTGAATTGCATGCAAATGCAGAAACATTCATCCTTGTGGAGAGTAACCATTTCCGGGCACAAGTCTCCTGAACAGTAGGAACCTAAGACTTGAGGAGCCACATCCAGTTAATCTCCAAATGTCAATCCAACCATGCTATCACAACTTTTTTTCCCAGGAATTATTCATCACCCTAAAGACACAGCAAAAACTACAAGGACAATATGTCCTTCTAAAAGAAAAAGCTAAGCGCAAGAGCTTATGCAATTTTCTGACGGGCACATTCACATAAATTAGAACGAGCCACTACACACAGTAAATTATAGTTAGATGACCCCCCAGACTGCATGTTCACTTTCTTAAGCAACCAAATTTTCTAGAATAAACCTAAACTATTATTATATGACCTGACATAATTTAACAAGGCTTTAACTCCAGTGTAACATTTATTAAAAAAAAAAAAAAAAATTCACTTACTGCAATAGTCATCTTCTGTGCTACAACTTTTGATGATTCGTAAAGTGGCCGCAGCACCTCTGGAACGCTCCAAGCCTAAATAAGACCAAAGTATTCATGTAAGATCTTGCTAAGTCGGAAAGATTGAACAACAAAGTCACCAAATCTAACCTCAAGATTCAGGTGATCCACTATATGGATGATCGACCCTCCACCCTCACATGGCCGAATCAAATAGCCACTTGGAAGCATTTCAGCTCTTACAAACTGAGAAGCAGCAGCTGCATTTGGACCAGCGCCAGAGCCAGACAGGGATCTCTCACATACCTTAAAGATTGACAATAAAGAAAGAATGAAGAGCACATTACAATATCCCTATATACCAACTCATAGAAAACCCAATGCAATATCTTCCTTTTAAACAATCAGCAAATCTCAGTAGCAAAAGTTAAGTACACTAAAACCAAACCTCCAATTGAAGCAATCGAAAAAACTCGTTGTGATACAGTATAATGTTTAGAATATGCACATCAGAAACATTATTTTTTTGTTGCTTTGTTGGAAGAGATCATGCTGAATGAGCTACACTTTTAAAAAGGTCCCCACAGGATCCATTTAACCAAAACTCTTACTAGTATATAATGCCACTAGCATGCATAACAGATATACCACAAAAATGTACTGGACTATTAGAATAGAAGGTTATGCATACCACAAGACTGCCATTGTCTAAACTTGTAGTGTATCTGAGAGTCCAGAAATCCCGTGCAGGAGCCAGTGTGGTTGGAGCATATACCTGATAACATTTTTATATTTATTCATTTCTCTGAAAACAAGGCAAATTCCCATTCAGAACACTGAAAGAAGATTGAGAATGGTTCTGCACACCTGCGTGTATACAAGTTCAATAATTCCTCCATTTCCAGCAGGAAACATTGTGAAAACTTCAAGGTTCCGACAGTCCCGGAACCAAGACTGACGATCTTTAAGGATCTCCGCAATCTGTCAAAAAGTTGCATGTAAATGATATTGCCTTTTCAGCAGCTCACAAACACTATTGCATGCAAAATTAAGCTTTTTACATAAATGGAAGAGAGGAGAGGGGGAAGGGGTGTGGAGTCATATTGCAGTTTCAAAGTCCATGAGAGCTTACCTTTGTAGGTTCTAAACTTACTAGACCACAGGCTCGAGCTGCCACTCCACTACAACCTTGTGAAATGGCAAAAATCCCAACCGAATCCGGACCAGGCTGACAACAAAATATACCAGTTGTCACAAATGCATCAGCATCACAGAAAAGACATAATAATGAATTTCAAAGAAATGCCGAAGTGAATAATTTCATATAGGACAGAATCAAAAACCTTCATCCCAGGCATCTGGACCCAATCGACAGCAGTTCCTGTAGCCTTTGAAAGGAACTCTGCCAAGGTCTCCTCTGCAATTGAAAGGAGTCTGCCAAAAGTATAAAGGAAAATTACATCAGAAGTTACAAATATTATATTACTTGTTAGAGAGAGAGAGTTGAATTGATATTCAAGATTACCCAGCCGGGTTAGTAGCATCTTTGAGAGAATGTTGAGGAGTGGTAACTACAGACTCGCAGCTTCCATCAGTAGTTGCTGCTGATGCCTGTAGACAATTCATTAAAGATTGTTAATTATCACAAAACACATGCCACAAGGAAATTAGATTTTTTATTGCACCGCAGAGCAGTTGCACATTATTATCTCATTTTCAAGTGGAAAACTCCAAGTGCTAGTGCTATTTGTCTTATTAAGACATCTTTGCGGATGTAAGCAAATATGGTAAGAGCCAAGGGCAGAAAGACAAAGATATCTAATTCTGTGCATAAAACAGATATAGTAGGCACTCAAGTGCAGAGAAGCATGAGTAAATTGCAGAATCCCAAGTTTGGTTCCAAATCTTAGTTCGTTTCTTAATAGAGGATGACTAATGGAAGGGTCTTTCATGCCGGGATTCCGAAAACTGTAAATTTATATAATTACTCCATGAATAGAAAACAGATCAACCCATATTCTTCTTAAAAGCAAACACTCCTTTCGAGACCATTCCTATCATGTTAATCACATAAAAGAAATAGAAGATGATCCATCACAAAGATATATATAGGAATATCAATGATTGATAGGGAAAAATTAGTATACCCCTTGCAGTTGTTGCCGCATATACCCATTCTCGCACACCAATTGTGACACCTGTTTCTGCAGGCGATCATTCTCCTCCATCAAAAGCTTGTTCATCGCAGTCAATTTCCTGTTCACGGTCTGGAGTCGGGAAGCCTCTTTTCGCTGCTTCTCTCGACACCTGCACAGGCAAATGTCATACTTTTTCAAATCCCTTGGAAATTTATAGTCCAAAATACAAATTATTGATAACTGGTATTCAATTATATTGCTCAAATTATCAACATACAATTAGAAATCGGTATGAAATTTAACGAATTGAAAATGCCATTAAACATTGATTAAATAGATGCAAGAGAATGCATGGAACTGAAAAGAATTGAAGAATATTGGGCAAAAAAGTACTGGAGGAACAAAATCAGAGAAATGAATACACCAATTATTCCTTTTTACCTGCGATTCTGAAACCACACTTTGATCTGTTTTGGTTCGATTTTAGACAAGATGGGGCACTCGCGAATCAATTGCTGTCGACGCAGGGAACTAGGCTTGGGACACTCGGCGTAAACCCGTTCCAAAGCTTCAACTTGCTCCGCCGTGTACCGGACATATTTTCCAGAATCAAGATGCTTGCTGATGCTACCACTGCTACTCTCCCTGTGCTGTTGCGCCGCTACCATCGCCATTTCGGTCACTCAACTTCAAGTTTAGACCCACTGAACCAGAGAAGAGAGAGTTATAGAAACTTTGAGCGGCCTTAATTTGTTTCCAGCTAGCTATTTTGTCCTCTGTAAACTAAAAGATTCCTCTACTAAAGTCCGTTTCTGTGATATCAGAAGATAAACCAAGGTACAGCCAAATAGCTCAACCGAAGTTATGAAATATACTGCCAAAAAATTATCTGTATTTTCACCAAACTCTCAGTCTTTGATCGATGAAGTTGTCAAGAACAGCTCAAAGAAACGCCTTTTGATTCCAAAAACTCCAAAACTTCACTGATTGCTCTGGATTTTCCTCTAAACTTCCAAGAAAAACAAACTCTCTCTCTTTTCTCTGTAACGTTGTCCACTAAAAGGCTCTACTTTTTTCCTCCAAAACTTCCAAAAAAAAAAATACAACTCAAACTGTGTGTCTCTCTCTAAAGCTGCGTTCGAGGTAGATTAGACTTTGAACCACGTTGTTGCACACCTTGAAATCGCACGCCAAAAAAGGAACGGAGAAAGAGCTTAAATCGATCTTTATGTTGTCGATTTCAGCTGAATTTCTGAGGAAATTTCAACTTTTTATATGTATGACACGCCGATTAACACACACAATCGATACGTGCAGAGCGCGAAACCAGTGGAAAAGTCTCAAAGGAGCTTGGAAAGCAGGAGAAGATTGAGGGCAAAGAGTCTGGCTCGCGCGCGAGCGACGGAGAGAGACGGTTGTGAAGACATCAGAAAGCTGTGGATGATCTGTGAGAGAGAAATAGAGTGGAGAGTGAAACCCTAGACATGTCTTGTAAGCGGAAAGAGAGAGAGAGAGGAGGAGGTGTTTTAGAGAGAGAAAGAGAGGGAGGGGGGACAGAGATATGTGTCTGAGCTACAGAAGAGAACAGTGTGGGGAAGAAAAAGATTGCTCGCAAATCGAAAATGCCAGTTTTTATTCCTACTACATTACATTAAATTACATGTTGCTAACTTTCTTTATTTATTTATTTATTTTTAAATATTATATATAAATAAATTAGATTCGGCGCATTTACGTAGTTGTCCCTGTTGAAAGATTGAAATGACGTGTTAGACCTAATGGTCTTTAATAGGCTTGGTCAAATCACAAAATCTAGAGGCCAATGCAGAGCCTTATCACAGGAGATTGGATTGTGGGTTGATTAGTAGGGTGGCTACGTATTAGTAGTACTCCACTAGCTAGGTTGTGGCCCTCTTCTGTTGTGTTACCTCCTACTATATATATATATATATATATATACTCGTATAATTTTGATCATTTCATATATAATTTTCATGTATATGTTGCTTCCTTGTTGGTGTCAAAAAAAAAAAAAAAAATAATCAAAATTACAACATTTTTTAAGGCCTTTTGATGTCAATTCTAGGATTTACAATTTGTTCATAATTTACAAGATTTACAATTTGTTCATAATTTTTTTTATTTTTTTATCCAATGTTCGCTATTTCACTGATTGTAATGTAGTAGTACTTAACTACTTTCTCAAATTTTAAAGTAAAATGTCTGTATTTAAATTTTTAAAAAGCCTCAAGGTGGGTGTTTTCCCGTCGAAAGTAAGAAGAAAAAAATTTGCTAATATTTTCCAACTTAAATGGTGAAATTTTACAAATTTTTATAAGTTAAATTGTAGGAATTAAGAGGTGTGAAATTCAGAGTATATAATGACATGACTTTGATAAATAAGTGACATATGATATTGTATGTTTTGGATTCGAAAAATTCCAAAGATAAGTCCATTAAAATATGTGTTCTCAATCATCTTTTAACTGAATACATTATTTTAAAGTGAAATAATATAATTGTCTCTAACTCATAAATAGAAAAACAAGTGATAGGAATATGTTTGCCATTTGTATTAAGAAAAAGACAAAAAAAAAAAAAAAATTAAAATTAAATAATAATAATGAGTACATTTGATTAAAAGTTAAATTACTAGGAAAAGAAACTTTCATATAAAAAATTTCAATTTATCCTATAAAAAAATTTTAAAAAAATCAATTCAAATAAGGCGAAAATAACTCCGACACCCATTTATCTTTATGGATATTTAAATTCTCACCATCTAACAATACATCAAGCACCTCTTTCCATGCACTTTGATGCTCAATTTTATACATTTTCAATTCATAAATGATTTTTAATGGTGGTTTTAGGAGCAAGACTAACTTTTGCAAACCCATGTAGGATTCGAAGTACTGAGTTGGTAAAATATCTAATGTATATCTCAAATTTTGATTAGTCTCTCTGTTTTTTTTAATATATATATATATATATATATATGAATTTTGAAATGAATTTGACACCACATGGAACCTTGGATTCGTTTTCTATATAAGTTGTTTACATCTTCCAGGTGTTTGTGCACAAATGGCTAAAATTCAGTTATGTATATGTGATAGTACACAGTTATTAATTTGTTGTATGGCATTGTTGTTGTCCATATTTAATATTGCTAGCTGTGAGTTATTTCAACAAATGGGTAGAATTTGATTTGTTGCAATCTTCAACATTGTTACTTCTTATCAAGATTTGAGCAACCCTACTATTATGATGAGTTGTCTCTCAAAAAGTCAAGTTTTGCTTGTTAAAAGCTTTTGGAATTATGCCATTTATGATTGATTTCATTTAGCTGTGCACCATTAAGTAAACACTAGTATTAAATTTTAATTAATCCCACTAATTACATCAACAATCGATCATAAAGATGACATATCTTATTAGCTGTGAAGGAAAATGATTTTAATGCCAAGTTGTTAGGCAGAATTCTTAATTTACTGTTTTAATTGATCAATGCATGTCAAATATAAAAAAGTCATACCTTAGGAAAATGATTTTAGTGCCGAGTTGTTAGGCAGAATTCTTAATTTATTGCTTTAATTGGTCAATGCATGTCAAATATAAGAAAGTCAGACCTTTCACTTCTATATGTTTTGCCTTCATAACTAATTAAATGTATTAGTCCAACCCTGTAAGTATTTTGTCTAACTTTTCAGCTCAAATATCACTACTTTTTGACAATGGGTTCAGATGAAAAATTGAGTTACAACTGCCCTCACCACTAAGAGTTTCCAATGGATAGGCCATCAACGGCCTTCCATTCCACTAAGGGATCCTTTGAGTCCACATGCGGCACGATTAACCCATTAAGTAGAATGACCATTGCCTAAGTCTCGTATCTCCCTCTTCATCAATCAATATGGGACTTGTTCGGCTGTCTAACAAATACAACCTCATCTATATATAAAGAGCAAAGATCGTAGCTAAATACAAGTCATTTGGCAACCTTTTTGTGACAATCTCTTACTGCGTTAATGTATTTTGAAAATTGTGAATATGAATGGTGTACAAAGTGAATAACTTCAAAATGCGTAACTCTAAGTTACATAAAGTGGGAGCGAGAGAGAGAGAGAGCGAATTCGAGAGTGAGAGCGGCAGAATTAAATCATAAATAGTAAAAATTTGAAATAAAACCCACGCAAAAACGTGAAAACGACACCTATTAAAAATGATTGTGTAACTTAGACTTGGACACATTTTAAAAATGGTACAGGGGGATTGTTACATTTTACATTGCGCTTATCCATGGGTAACAGTAGTGGGTGGATGGAGGTTTTGATGGAGAAGAAGGGCAAATATGGTGGAGGGTAGAGGGAGGGACCAAGTTGGTTTGAAAACGTAGTTTGAAGGCGGTTTCTTAATTCCAGACCAACATTATAAAAAGCGAAATGCGCATGATAAGTGCACCGCACCTTTTGTTTGTTCTTTTGGAATTTCTTCCGGCGCGGACCGTCGGCGCACATTCCCTCCCTCTTGGTCGGTCATTCTTAGGGTTCTGTCACACATGAATCACACACACATATATGCGTCTAATGTGCACACTTAACTTCTTAACCTATATATAAGTAATTTTTTTTATGAATTTTTTGTTCTAAAATTTTAACTAAACCACTGAAATACTAAAATTTTGTAAGATTCATTTTGAGTGAAGTCATTTTAAGAAATAAATTGCCAAAATATTGGGTTTTATTTAATAAAAATTCTCAATTTATTCTTTTTGTATTACTTGAGAATTATTTGTACAACAATCAAGTCTTTTTTCCAGCCATCTGTAAATTGATTCCTGTATAGGCTATACTAATATCTCTTCTTTTAATCTACACAAATACTCATATTATTCTTTACTAATTCTAACTGAGTTAACTTAGGATTTCCAATTCTCCATGCTATTACTCTCGACCTAAACTATTCCACACACACACACACACACATATATATATATATGTGAATATGATTTCTCTTCGAAGGGAATTTTGTGCATTAACCTCAAAGACAATTTAGTAATTTTAAGACATTTAGCAACCATCTATCATTCTAGTAAATAGGTTAATTTTATTTTAAGGGGAAAATATACAAATAAAAAATAAAAATTAACCTCAAAGACAATTTAGTAATTTTATGACGTTTAGCACCCATTTATCATTCTATCAAATAGGTTAATTTTATTTTAAGCGGAAGATATGCAAATAAAAAATAAATATCGTTATGAGGGTTTTTCTGCAATTAACACACACACACACATACACTAAAAATATATATAGATGGTATACAGATTTATAGATCATACAGATTATATGAAATATAAAAATGATAGGTGTAGATATATACACATTTTAACTTTTTTATCACTTAATATATTTTCATATGCTTTTAGCATGCGTGAAAAGAAGCATCACGTGCTTCCCACCTTTGGATCTCAAGCCACAGTGCAAATATATAAATAGTATATCTAGATGTTACTTATTATTATTCATTTTACCACAAATATCAAGCAATTAAAAACTGTTTCATTACCTAATTTTTTATTGTGGACAAGTAATGTTCATGTTTATCTCCTAAAAAAGCTATATTGCATCACAAGCAACTAAGAAAAAGCAGAGTCAGAAAAAATTATCTTTCGTGTGGATCGGGTTAAAATTAATCTTTTTGAGACAATGATTGTGTATTTTATTAGGATCTAAATATATAGTGACCATCTCGTAAACACAACTCTATTATAGAATAAGTTAACCCAAATAAAGAAAATTAAATAAAAAAAACCCTTTATTATAGAATATTGATACAATGATTGTGTATGGAGTGGTATGCATCTATCTCCAATTAAAAATAAAAATCAGTAGTTACGTGTTTTATTTCTAACAAATTGTCCAATTGGCTAAAGAGAGCAAGAAAGTAATTATTATTATTATTATTATTATTATTATATAAGTGTAAATAATTTTTCAATAATACATCAATTCCATAAAAATACATGGCTTCTCACGTGTGTCCTTTCGGAAAAAAAAAAAAAAAAAAGTTTGATATAATTACTCAAAATTTAGTTAATATACATATACATATATATATATATATGTACACATATGCATATAGATGTATGTTTTATTGTATACGAGTTGGGTTTCTTGAGAAAATAATAAAAGATCTATAGGTATTAAACTATTAAATATCAATTATTACGAAATTGACTATAGTCAGATTTGAGCTAGAGAAATCTATTTTTGACCGAAATCAATTAATAAAAAAATTATTACCAGTTTACCAGTAATCAATTCTAAACCAACAAAAGGAGAAGAAGAAAATTCACAAATGAATATTTTAATTGATTAGACTCCATAATATATATATAAAATATGATTTGAAACGATTTATTTTGTTTGTATATGATAATGGGATGCTTTGATTCAACTCCAGTGTCAAAAAGAGAAGATCTTCCTATCTCCTCCCCTACGACCTTGCATTGTCTCTTTCCAAACGGGCCAATGATCCACATAAAAAAGAAATGCGACAACTACTTTGAATTAATGAAAGTAAAATTCTTTGACTTTTTCAACATTGAAAAGCCATTCATGCTCCATATATAGTGTTGTCGGAATTATTTTTGAGTGTAAATCAGATTGGAGATAATATCTCTCTTATGTGTGTGTGAAAAGGAGAGCGCACACACACAAATAGTATATGTGTGAAAGAAAGAGCATGGAGGGAGGTATATTTTTGATGTATAAATGGCATTGCAAGTCTATTACATGTCTTTATGCAATGATATGACGCACATCTCACATCATTAAGGACAATTTTTTAATACTTATTTATTTTTTATTTGGATAGACACATTCTGAAAATCGTGAATGATTACTTGTAAAGAAACTAATTAAATGCTTCAGATAATTAAAAATAAGTATAGATGCGAAAATTCCCGAATAGGTCAACCTTTCGAGCAGTAGCTGATTCCATAGACATACAAGAGACAACACGATGAACTGAAACATCTACGGACCTACGTTGACATGGGGGGTGGGGGGGCAATTGCCCTCCTGAAATTTTTTTTATTACTAATATACCTTACTAATTTGCTCTTTTTTAGTTATATACTCTTAAAATATTACTATTGACCCCACTAAAATTACTAAAAGATTTCATTATTGTCCCTCCTTACCTTATTTTTTGAGTCCGTCCCTGACGATATGTCTCACTTTCGAACTCCAAAATTTTCTTATTATTGTTACTAACACCAATAATGTGTCCACTAAGAATGAAAACTAAGAGAATCCAAGTACATACAATATGTATTATGTAAAGATTCAAAGGCCATAAGGCCCATAGGATAAGCCAATTAGAGGATGACACATAGAAAGATTGGATATGCAGTAGATGTAGAATATATGGTCCCATGTAAATAGTACAATCAATGATATATGATGAGCGATAACAAAGTCAAATAGGTATATTAGATGATTGGGATTAACATTCTTCCACTTTGTCTCCCCCTATATCTTTCTCTCTCATCTTTCTCTTTTTTTTTTCTTCTGTTTTCTTGCTTTTTTATTTTTCTGTGTGTCTTATGGGTGGAGGGTTCCATCTCTCTCCTTTTGCTTTGAGCCATTGCTTTTTTCATAGGAAAGGAATAAATGCCAGTGCTTCCTTAACACTTAATGGGCCCCAATTGGGTCTCAATCAAAGTCCCTCTCCCTTTGTTGTGGGCCCATCTTGTCTGGGCCGACTCCAGACACCACACTCTTGAAAAATGAAATGTTGCGTAAATCAATCGAATGCTGACATGGGCCTTTGCTTTGATGGGTTGGTGTCGTTGAAGTGGAGACTTGACCCCACCACCGTGACACACACACACACTCTCTCTCTCTCTCTCTCTCTCTACACATACACACACACACATATATATATATGTATCTTTGCTTCTGTAGCACACTAATTGTGGTACCCTTTACTTTTTACATCATTTCACTTACCTCCACAATTCCATGCTCTTCTGTTGCTGTTGTTCTTTTTTACTTTATCTTGATATCTCCTGTTCTTTTCACCATAAAAGCTTTAACCCACAAACAGATAAAGATGCCCATCTGTATCTTTGGTGGTTAGAGGTGTTGTTGAAGCAAAACTAGCTCATTGGGTAATCCATAATCACCCTAAATTTTAAATTAGGGTCCCACTAAATTGTGCTGTTGTGTAACTTTACATCGTTGATGGACAGAATTAAAAATAACACTACCTATTGTAACTTTACATTAGGTCTTTAATGATATAACAACCTGATGTAAACTTATCATCTACTCTTGGTAATTAAAATTCACTCATGGTAATTACTCTGTTCCAAAGTAGAGTTCCAATGTAGTGTGCTAGGGTTCAAATATCTATAATTTACCTCTAAGAGAGCGAGAGCGGGAGCTGGAATGGCAGAAGGGTGAAAGTGACGAAATTAAGTCACAAATAGTGACAATGTGAGCAAAAGCATGCGCGGAGCGGAGTATAAGAGTAAGAGTGCGTTCGGAGCGTAAGATGAGAGCAACACCCGTTAAAAACGATTGTACGAATTAAGTTTACATACTTAATAAAATGACACCATTTTGTATTTTTTCTCCGAGAATCAGAGATAATTTTATATTAATTTTGTGAGTTGTTTTTTTTGTAATTTCATTTATTTTAATTCCAAAACTCCAATTTTTTTTTTTCAGAAGGATTTTTTTTTTTTTTTATTTTAAATAAAGCTTTGCTCATCTTTGCCAAAGCTCCAATTTCATGCAGCCCGAACATAACTACAGTGAAATTGCAAACCTAGAAAAAAGTGTATTGAAGAATTTTGAGTCTAGTTATTATTGGGTTTTGCAACGTTCTAACATGTAAATGAGAGTGAGCTAGGTCTTCTCTTTGGTTCAGAAACAAGGTTCAAAGGCCATAAATGCAGAGGAGCAACCATTTACAAATTTAGCACTCTCAGAGTCGATTTCCACATATTATATCGCGTCATTGTTCCTATATTTATAGAAATGAGTTAATGCTTCATGAATGCATTGGATTCGTATTTCATTACTATTACAATTATAAATTCATATTCATTTCATTTACAACATATCGAACTTTTAAAATTGAAAATTAATAAACCATCACCCTCGGAACCATTGCTTGTGTACTGCTGTGGAGCCCACCCCAGAAACTGGAAGAAAAATGGAAATAGTTTCTGGTTTGGATTGTGAGGAATAATTTTAGATTTGATACACCATTGTGTAGTTAAACGATACCTGGATATAGGGAAAAGAGTATAAAAATATAAACACACATCTTTTCTTTTTCTTTCTTTTTTATTTTTTTAAATTTTGCGTATAAATTATTTAGTGGTAGTGTATAAAAAGGTATGTTCTTCAACCCTAATCTGGTCCTCTGAGAGTTCAAATTTTGTGTGACATAACTCTTTCAGAAGTTCTACTCAATGTAGGAAGTAATTTTGTCAGTTGGAGAAACCGATCTTAAACTAACAGGCTAGGCTTGGAAAGTTGTTGTAAGTTTCCAACTTTTCAATCATTTCCTACAACTTCAAGCAACAATGGGAGCTTAAAAATCAATATACATACATACATACCCACGTATATTGTGTGTGTGTGTGTGTGTGTGTGTGGGCTTCCTTGGTGTTTAAAGGTCAAAGACATCATCTACTTTCACTATGATGTTTTTGCAAGTAAAAACCTTATTTGACCCTAGTAAATTTGTTTTGGATTGAGGAGGAGAGACAATGACAAACTACAAAAATAAAGCCAACAACCGCACCATGTATATATTGTCACTGCGTCGTCACTGGCCTCTTGGAACCAGCATTTTCACTGGCCTCGGCCCAAGATGCATGGGCTTGTCACCGTGTAAATATTGTCCGTTTTACACTCTCCTCTTTATGCTCACGGCGTCTATATGGTTGAAAGGGTATCTATGTATGTAAGTCTCAACAGCCTCAACCCTCACACTTGTGAATAGCTTTGACAACTACTTCTGTTTAATATACTTGTCAAGGGCAACTTGAATGGAAGTACCATTTTGCAATATGCACAAATTGGAAGCAGTATTACCAACAATAAGTTATCATCCTCAGAGAGTATGAAGGTCACAGTTCCTCCTCTTGAATTGCAAAGATTTGATATATGCCTACTCAAAATTAACCTGCAATAACTGTAGCTTTAAACATAAGGGGAATATGGTAATGAACAAAAATAGAGGGGAAGGCACTCTTACCAAAAGATGAACAAACTGAAAATCAACACAGGATCCTAACACGGGTTCTAATGGATTAAAATAATCCCCAACCACCATCATATTTTGAGCTGCTCCAAACCCTTTACCGCCTCAGATTCTGGCAGATCATTACCAATCTTGGTCTCAGTTTCCTCCACCTGATCTGGAGATTTTTTTGGAGCAGCAGCAGTGGTGGCAGTTGGAGGATCTTCTTTTCGAACTGATGGTGCAGCAAAAACAGGCACAGCCTGCCTAATACAGACCGGTGGGGCAATTTGCACAGGTCGGGACTGCATCACTTGAGGGGGGCGCATAGAGGGTGGTGGACGTGGTGGTGCAGAGAAAACTGGCACTGCAGTTCTTATTGTAACTGGCGGAGCAATCCCCTGGTAAGGTGTCCTAAAATGTTGGAAAGGAACATAAGGAGCTGCTCCTGCTGCAGGGAACCTCTGGGGCCAAATTGCATGGCCTTCTGATACTGGACGTTTTGATTGTTGTGGAGACTGTGATGATGGCATGCGGCAGTCATTTACTACTGTTGAAGTATGTCTGCTTTGAGGAGCTGTCTTTGGGCAGATTAAAGGGAGGATTTTAGATGCGGTCACTTGGGGGCGCTGTGGACTAGATGGTCTTGGATTCTGAATTGGAAATCTCCTTTGAAATGGTACTGGGGCACTGGAGGAGTTGGCCATTCCCATCTTTTCCTTCAAACAATAATTCAACAAGGCCCGTGCTACTCTGATCTGTTCCAGCTCATCACTGTTCTCTGTTTCCGATGATGAATTCGCATCTTGCTGTGCCACTGGCAAGGAAAGAAAATTTAATTTATATTAAAAGCAAATTAGAACAGACATATTTAGGGTAATGCTAGGAAAGGGGAAGATAAAAACTAACATGGGTTGAGTTAGCTACATATGATAAGATAGATCGTGGTTTGATTGAGGTTCTAGTTAGTGAAACAAGATTCATGAAATTGACTCCAAATAGTGGAGAAAAAGGTTTTGTTGAGTTGTGTTAAACTTATAAGTGAGAGTTTAGTTTTATAGATACAATGGTGGGAAATCGAAGCCGTGCTGCTAAAATCAGAGTCAGTTAGGAGACTAGGATGATTAGAAAGGGTGGATCTTTTATTTATTTATTTTGAAACAGTAAGGAACGACAAAATTTAATGAATTTTACTAAGAAAAGAATTGGGTACTGTCGTAAGAAAAGAACTGACATCCCACGCAGAATGGAAGGGCATAAGAGTTTTTGACATATCAAAATCCAAACCACTAAACCAGTTAATTAACCTCAGCAGGTTCTATGAGAAATGATGATTTGTGCAACAAACCTATTCTACTGTATGCTTCCCAAAGATAAATAGACCTGCAGGGGCACTGGGAAGGAAAGGTTCCAATCTAAATAAAGCCTTTTTTCTAGGATTGCGATGGGGTGTCAACCCGATATTAACTCCTTAGACCTAGACTAATCTGATGAATTTGAATCTAAATCAACATGGAACTCAACAAAGCACCAGATCAAGCACCTAAAACTTGTAATCTTAAGCTGGATTTATTTTATGTTGTTTTATCTCCTTTAATATCCCTCCCACTCCTTGAGATTTGTAAGGACTTGATTCCACATAGTAACAATTGCAGATCTATAACGATGTCGGGTTCCAGCCATGCCATAAACATCTAACCATTACTCAGACAGCTGGATTCAAATAGGAAGTGTGTATATATTGCCGGATTCTGAGCCTGCAGCTTAAGTTACTTGTTCAATTGTTTTTATTATGTTCACGGGATGCAAGTATTTAGAGCATTTTTCACTTTTGTAACGACTCTTAACAACCTATACTGAAACTAGTAATACAAAGAAACTTGAATCAGGGACTCACGTTGTTTTAGAGATGTCCAAGCTGCCATGGCTGCATTCTTCTCTGCTTGCTTCTTGTTCTTGGCAGGCTCCCCAGTAAAAGTGATTCCAGCCAGTTCTACCGTTCCTGTAAAAACGGGTAGGTGTCCAAGCCCTGACCTGAAAGTTGTGTACTGGGGCAATGGGGCCGCAACTCTTTGTGTAATCTCTTGTAAGAGATTTTTGTAAACCCCCGTCTCGTCCTAAAGGCAGTGAAGCAAAATCAACATTAGAACAGTAATTTAAATGATCGTTGTGAAGTAACTGTACCAATAAAAAGTATCTATATACATCTTGGAAAACTAGAGATTCTTCACGGTAAAACTGGACGAAATTGGCTGACATGTGAACCACTTAGATTGAGCACATGTTAACTTCTGGAAAGGCCTAATGGCACCCACAATCATCTATTGTTTCCACAAGGACTATCTTTTAACATGCGCCACCAGGTGTAGTGTATTTGGATGTGCTTCACATCCTGAAGCCATCACTCTACAGACTGAAGGATTCTATGAATCGCATTATGATGCTAAATGCCAGCCCAAAGTCAAATGAAGGCCCTGACAAACCGTCCTTCTGGGGGTACTCTAGTGCTTCTGAGCGGTACAGTTAGCATTACATCACTGGCTTTGGGATGTTCTGAGGTTCAACCAGCAGCTAGATTTCGGGGCAAGCTAAGGTGGCTCCTTAATCTGTGCCATAGCCAAGGTAACAGGTTCAGGAAACACACAGCTACTTTGTGTTTAGGTTATTTAACTACAATTATGGTTGATTGGTAGGATGAAAATGCAAGCAAACTAAATATAGGAAACTGGAAAAGAAAAAAAAAAAAAAAAACAAATTATTCAATGAATTATGAGATCCTACTTGGTTCTTAAATCACTAAATTATCACTAAATTATGTGCGGCCAGTTGCTTTTACCGGCAAGTAGAAATTAATTTTCATACATTTATATGTAGTTTAACTTCTTTATTATTATTATTATTTTGATACATATCTTATCCGTCTAGTAGAATCTTATATAAAATATCAATAAGATCCAATATGATTTTAAAATAGAATATTCCCGAGGTCAAGAAAATTGGGGACATACATCCAAATCCTTGTAAATATATATCATCATCCTCGTAAATATATATAGAATGAAGATTTTTCCCAAGACCAAAAGAATTGGTGCAAGTTCAATGCTGCAGTACAGCCTAATCCTTATATATTGAGGCCACAGAAATTCTACAAGGTAAACGAAGACATGAAGGGGTTCCGCCATCTTGCAGCAAAAAAAGCTTATCCCCCTGTGAATATGTATCAAAGATTTCATTCATCGGCCACATAAGTTGGGAAGTTGTGGTTAAAATATCTTTCCCCTATGCCCTACTAAGCAAGGTTACAAGATCGAAAAGCCAGCAGTTGAAAGAGTTGCTGATTCGAGAGTTGATGAAATAAAATATCAAAATCATGACCAAGGACCTTGTGGCCTAGTAGTACCTCCTCTACCTCCCAAAGTGGATGGTGAGGGTTCGAGTCCCCAAACGGGTAAAGTGGGTGTGTGGGTGGGGTGTCTGTGTTTCATGCAGGAAAGTAGTATAGAGCAATAAACTGGGAGACTCAGTTTACAAAAGTTATACTTAAAAGACGCAAAAGGATCCAATCTTATAAAAGATCATATACATAGTTAAAAAGACCAAGAAAGAATAAATAATTTCAGATCACTGGCTGCAGATACAGGACATTTAAGCATATCAAATTATAGGGAGTCTATGAATTGTAAGATTGCTCTTCATCTGCCCATTTTTGAAACCTATACAAAAAAAATTATTTAAATTTATTTCTATAACTTGACTATTTATGTTAAAAAGCCCAATATATCAATGTATGCATACTTATTCTGACCTCTACTGTTTCATGCATAAAAGAAATACAGAAGTCAGCAAATTTGGTTGTCAATCTTTATCATGTGGCTTAAGTACGCGGTCTCATAATCTTTTTTTTATTTATTTTTTTTTATAAGTAAGTACGTCTCACAATCTTAATAAATACTGTATACAATAATTGACTTGATACCCAGAAAAACAATACATTAATTGGCTCTAAATTTATTTCCCTTTTTTCTATCTGTTTCCTATTTTATTTTATTTACCTCAAATAGTAGTTGAACGTCTCCTACAATTCTGTATTTTTTATTACGTGGGTATTTAAGTGGATAGCAGCTCAGTTTCACACTACCAGGAACAAGTCCAGATTTTCTATTCCAAAGCTTTAAAATACCACAAGTTCAAGATGACTGAAATACCCCTCATTTCAGACCAAAAAAGATAAGACCCCTCATTTAAAGGAATTAATTGCGCTAGAGTATCAGATGTCCCAGAACAGCTGTTATGGAGATATGATTCAACGAAGACCAGATGGATCTTTATTTACGGTCAATCTCTTTCTCTTACTCTCTGAAACTTCCCAGTTTTCTACTAAATTAATCTGTACTTGGAAAATCCCAATGCTATAGTAACCAAACCCAACCCAGAACAGGGGCATTTTGGTCATTTCAAAGCCAACCATGGTTCAACCTCATCTCTAAACCAGCGGTTAACACCAGTTCAGAGATGAACAGTATTGACCGGAACAATAGCATTTTCTACTTCACCGGAAAAATTAGAATGTAAAGGACTCAAATAACACACTGCGCATGTTAGCAGAGATTGAACCTCTCTCGATTACAGTGACTGTAATTTCGTTAAACTTACTTGAGAATGATGATCAAAGCCGTCAGAATTAACGGAAAAGAAAAAAACCCTAACGACGGTGGGAGAGATAGTTAAATATTACCAGGATCCTTGCGGCGAGGGAGTGCGACGGGCCACGGTTGGAGAGTGAGTTGAGCGCCACCTCGGCCGCCGCGTGTTCGGCCTGCCGGAGCGTCGAGCAGTAGTGAGGGCTCTCGAACGTCTCGCCGCTAAAGTTAACGGTGGCCTTGAACCTCGGCGCGTGGTCCGGACCTTCCCTTATGCACGTGTAGGAGGGGAGGTTGAAGCAGCTCCTCTGCGCCAGCTCCTGAAGCTGGTTCTTGTACATCTCCTCCTCCTTTCTCTCTCTCTCTCTCTATATAACAATCCCTCCCTTCTCTCTCTAGATATACAGATTTCGCCGGTTAAGAACCGGCCGGAAAACGAATTTCCGGGGCCAGATCGGGTCGGGTTTATGTAGTAACGAGAGAATGGTTCCGGTTTGGTATGGGTTATCGCCGGAGAATGGTGCTCGGGAGGGGATTTTAGGGTTTTGCTGTCTGGGAGAGAGGTATATATATATATACTTATATGTATATGAATAGAGAGAGAGTTATTTTAGAGAGAGAAAGGGGGGAGGAATATGCAGATAGTAGAAAGGGGGGGAAAAAGAAAAGGGAGGCGTAGTGTAGAGTGGTGGTATGGTGTGGTGGGGTTGGGGGGTGTTTGGAGTTATTTTATTGGAATTTTTATTGCTTTTTTATGGTGGGAGTCAACTGAACGTTAGGCTTGCATGGATGTGATCTCTTCCTAGATTTTCTTTTTTTATTTTCATTTACCCCATTTTTATTAGACTCACTTCATTTACTTTAGTTTTTTTAATAAAAGGGAAAATATAATTTTCAAAACTTGAATGAGTATGCGTTGGAGATTCTTATGCAATGAAAATAAGCAAACTTGTAGAAAACTATAATGCTAATGTCATTTCCTTTTATCGGTTTTATTAGTAGTAATGTTCGTGTAATAATCATATTATAAAGGTATTATAATGTGCTTTAAATAATTATCTTATTTGTCTCATAATGAGACTTTTATAAGATTCATGTCATTCAAGGGATGAAATTAAATTGTTCACAACATTTAACAAGTATGACCTAGAAAAAAGGAAAAAAATATATATATATTTAACAAGTATTATTTTTTAATAATATTTGTAAAAAATGTATATAATATTTGTGGCCGAGTTTATACAAGGTAAGTAGGTTTACTGTCTGGCATAGTCTCATTAGATGAGATTATTTTTACAGTGAAAATTTTGTAAGGTCTATATCATTAAACGAATAAAATTAAATACAAAATAATTACACATACATAATAATTGTCGTGTTGAAAGCATTCAGTAAGTATTGTTGTTGGATAAGATTTGTAGTTGGGTATATATGTAAGGTAGGTTTGGGCTTTGTGATGTTGTCAAATTTTGACAATTGAGCTTCAACAGTAAGTATAACCTTTTTGCCAATATATATATATATATATATATAACTTTGGTTTAAAAAAAAAATTTCAATAATACTCAAAATAAACCTAATTTATTTACATTTTTTTGGGATGTTTTGAACAACTTTATACAATGGAATCAGAATTATAAACAAATGGCTTTAGTCCAACTCGGCTTTATTGTTAGTTAACGAGACTAGTCATATAACTCAATTCTCTTCTAGAATTTTTACTTCTCTGATGTGTATGTACAATGTAACTCCTAGTATCAAGTTCCTAACTCATCCATCTTATTTATTCTAGTACAAAATTATTAGATAATTTAGCAATTAATTTTTTTTTTCTAATAATAATGAATAATTACACTATAAATTTTTAAAGGGTAAATTCGGCTTACCAACCTGAAAAACTTGTCAATATCCCAATTTGACCACTCTATGTTTCATAATCTCACTTACCTTTTCTGTTAGCGATGGCCATCTAATTTAGTAACGATAGTGTGTTATTCGACTTACCAACCCAGAAACTTATCAATATCCCAAATTAACCACTTTATGTTCATAATCTCACTTACCTTCTCTGTTAGTGATGGCCATCTAATTTGGTAACTATAATGTGTTATTCTACTTATCAACCCAGAAACTTGTCAATATTCCAAATTCTATGTTTCATAATTTCACTAACTTTGCCTGTTAGTGATGGCCATCTAATTGGGTACCGGTAGTGTTTTATTTTACTATTTTGCCCATGAAATAATTGCTTAAGCATTAAAAAAGCAAAATTGACATTCTATGCATTTTCTGCCATTTGCATCGGAGATTCTTTTTGTCTTTTATCAAGTGTCAAATGGTAAGAGAAATTTGTTAGTATATAAATTACAACCTCGCCAAAAGTAAGTGGATTTACTCTTTATAAAAGATAGAGGGGTCTATGTGGATTATGACAAACCTCATAGAAGGTAAGTAAAAAATTCCCAAATTTTAAAAAATTAAGAAAACAGTGATTAGCCAAAAACTCTATCATGAGCTCTCATAAATGGTAATTGAGTTAGCATGTAATTGGACAAATTGTAAAAATTTATTTGACCCACACGAATTTGTTATTTGATTTTGGTATCACAGACCTGCTCGTTAAATCTATATAATTCTAATGTCAAAATCTCATAAATGACATAACATAACTAGAATAAAGATGTCAGGATTTAGCCCGTTCTTAGTAGATAAACATTGCATGAGTAGATATTATCATTTTGCATATAGATATTTGCAATTTTCAAAACAAGTCTATACGTATTGGAGATTTTCACAGGTGTCAACAATTTATTCTCAAAGAAATGCGAAGTGTCACAAATCAATAATAGTATGAATTTTTTTAGTAACGTCCAGAAAGGAGTCTAATAATGAATATTATTTTTCTTTTTTTTATAACCAAATTAAGAGAAAAAGATTCGAACACGAGAACACCGCAATGCCCTCATGAATACGTAGTACTAAATGATAAGGAAAAATATAAACATACCCTACCCTTGATAAGATTAATTAGATTTCATTATCAAGAATAATGAAATCAAATCTGATGTAGTTCAACAAATAAGAATAATCATACTATAACTGGAGGAGGTCAAAAGGATTAAATCATATCCCGACAAATCTGGTAATAAATCTCCTATGATTTCGCACATGCGGAAGATAAGGTCAACCATCGACATCAGCGGAACGATTTTGATTCCAATCAACAGCCATAAATAGGGAATCAAGCCATTAAATAAGGTACGACGTAAAAACTATTATTAATCCTTGCCTTCTTTTTAGACCTCTGTGACTAATTTGATCGTCGGAGAGCTCTTGGCAGGCACCATACCGGTGCCGTCAAGGTTCATCGATCTTCTCCTCTCTTCCTTGCAGGAAAACGGTATCGTATCGGACTGCGCGAATTTCAGCCTCAACAGTTGGCGCCGTCTGTGGGAATCACGATTCCCTTGAATCAATTAATTACTCGTTGGGTATATACGTTTACAGTCCGGTATGGTTACCGAAGGAACACCGTCGCAGGGATCTGGTCAAAGGGTAGAGTCGGGTGAAAACCTAGACATCCCAAACGACCAGGCACGGCTTGCAGCGTTGGAATTATAGGTTCAAACTCTGAGTCAGGGTATGAACCAGTTGATCCAGCAAAATGCAACGCTCTTGCAACACCTTATTCCACCGGCTCAACAAAACTTTCCAGGACAAGATCTCTTAGGTCCAAACGGAGGTAATGAAAATTTTGAAGAGAGGGATAATCATTCCCCCCAAAATGAGACTGAAGTGGAACAAAGCCAGGTGGGAACCCGACATAGAGAGGTGGTTCACCCATCTCTCCTACGGAGTTCCCGACCTCCTGAAAGCATAGCCTTCTATCTTAAGGAAAAGACAAAGAACGTTACCCATCTCGACTTGCAAATCAAAGATCTCAAGGGGAAAATGGAAAATGTAATGCAGGCTATGAAAGGGAAAGGTCCTGCCGCCGTAGATGACCTGGTATAAAGGACCAACTTGCCTTTCAACCTCGCCGTTATGAAATGTCCACTACCTAGCAAATTCAGGATGCCCTCGTTCGAAAGCTTCGATGGGACCAAAGATCCCCTCGATCACCTGGAAACTTTTCAAGCTCTTATGCATTTACACGCTGTGCCAGATGAAATCATGTGCCGAGCTTTTCCCACTACACTTAAGGGATCAGCGAGAGTTTGGTTCAACAAGTTGAAGCCAGGAACCATCAACACCTTCGAAGAATTGAGTAAGCAGTTTGTGAGCCACTTCATTGCAGGTCAGAGGCATAGGAGGCCGGCTACCTACCTGTTTACCATGGAGCAACAAAAGGAAGAGTCGATTCGGGAATACATCACCCGATTCAACGCAGAGATGTTGTAGGTAGAAGAGGCGGACGACAAGGTAGCTTTGACCGCTTTCACAGGAGGACTCCAAACCTCCAGATTCTTGTTCTCCTTATCAAAAGAACCTCCCACCAGCATGATAGAGTTGCTGGTCAGAGCGCAAAAACACATCAACGCTGAAGACACCATGAGTGCACGGAAGGAAGGAGAGGACAAGAAGAGGCCAGCCCCTCTCGCCAGGGATGAAAATAATACCAAATATAAGAAATCGTTCTTCAGCCAGAGTGACAGCACATATCATGAGAATGACTCAAATGAGTATACCGACTAGAAATTGTCTCGTGGCTGGAATTAGCCTTATCAAGTCATTCACAATAAAGATTGGGGGCATCTTAGTTAATCATTTTAAATGGAGAGCAGCTCCATGACGTGTTTTTTGTTTTTAATAATGATGGTCTTTAATAAAATTCATTTTAGTTTATACGTGCAGTATCCCCGTACTATAAGGGATAGTAAATGAGTGTCCTGTATTACAAGGACCCGGGCTGAATGAATCCCGTAATCCGTATCCCCGTACTATAAGGGAATAGTAAATGAGTGTCCTGTATTACAAGGACCGGGGCTGAATGAATCTCGTCATCCATATTCCTGGACTATAAGGGATAAGTATCTTGTATTATCAAGACCCGGGTTGAATGA